TGCATTACCTAACATTTTTTATGTTCCACTCATAAATATCCATTTTTCCATTCAAGACTCTTGGTGTAATGGTGTCTCTACCTGGAGGCTCAATGTTCACCTTTCATTGAGAGAAATTTTCATTCTCAATGCCAGCAAGTGGCAATAAAACCAAAACCAAACTCACTGCCATCAAGTCGATTCTTTATTAGAAGCAGACTGCCTCATCTTCCTTCCATTGGGTAGCTAGTAGATTCAAACCACCGACCTTTTGGTTAACAGCCAAATGTCTTAACCACTACACCATCAGAGTTCCTAAGTGGCAGAAAAGATGGCACAATTGTCAGTTCTTGCTCCTGATTTCATCTGTCTCCTCTGTGGCTTCGAGACTCAGGGTCAGCCATACTTGGCCAAGATATTCCACCTCCGTGAGCCTCCATTTCCTCTTTTTTAAAGTGGGCATAGTTCTTGGTAGGGTTTTGGGAGGATTTGAGAATAATATTTGTCCAGCATCTGTCCTGATGCCTAACTTGGCCAGCAAGTACTCAATAAATGTTTCAATTATAATTATTAAAAATATATGTATATGTGGTGGTTAAGTTTGTGTGTCAACTTGGCTGGGCCTGGTTGAGTGGCTGGGTAGCTGGATGTAGTTATTCCCCATGGTGAGATTGGTAATTAGCTCCATGGTGGAATCTATTGGAGCAGCTGAGTAGCTGCTTTGGGTATGTGATCTGCTTCCCCTATATAAGCAGCAGCTTTGGGAATGGTCTCTAACTTATGGCACACTTGAAACCTGCATGTAGCTGTGTCATTGTTCAGCAGCCTGCCATGCTCTGCCAACCTTGGGACTTTTAATGGACTTGAATTAATGGCCTGCCATGTGGTTTGGTAACATGGGGACTGTGCCTTTTCACTTGTCAACCTTGGGTTTGTCAGCCTCAGTAGCGAGCAGCTGCCTGAGTGGAGAGATGCCTCTAGCTTCATTGAGCTGGGAGCAAGAGGCAGAGCTGAAGCCCAAGGTCGAGGGGCTGTCACACAGCCCCTAGAGCCTGGCACTTGGAATGCAGACTTTTAGCCTCCTAAACTGTAAGAGAATAAACTCCTGTTTGTTAAGACCATCCCATTTGTGGTATATTCTTGTCAGAGTGGTACTAGGTAACCAGAACGGTGTATATATATATATATATATATATATATATATATATATATATATATATATATGGAAAAGAAAAAACCTTGAGGTTCTTGTACACCTACCTAACAAGATAATCTCCTACCCCAATCTGGCCTGAGGTGCAGATGAGGTCTGGCATGCCTGGAGTTCCCTCTCAGAAGGAACACATCTGTCTTCTTCCAGGGCCCTCTGGAAAGTATCTTCACAATGAGAAAGAATCACTCACTAAGAGCAGGACTCCCAAATGCCTGGGCAGGTTCATGAGGGAAGACTTCTTTAAGCTGACAGGTCCTTAGTCTCCCATATGAGACCAGGGAAAGCTGAAATCAGTCCCTGTGTGAGATGAAAGGGCTGGCTGGGCTAATGGAGGTGTTTCAGGAGTATCTTGGGGGTGGCAATGGTATCAGAGAAAGGAGAGTCCCAGGAGTAGGTGTAGAAGAAGTAACTGCATCACTGGGGACCCACCCCCCAGCTGTCCCTAGTAGCCTGGCTGTTAGGGATTATGGAGATTATGGAGGAATTATCTCCAGGCAGAAGCACTGGACCCATCTTCCACCTTGATAGCACACTCAGCCTCTAGCTGGGGTTGCATGACTTGGACCAGGAACCACACACAACCAGCCTCATTCTGCCTTAAGATCTGGACTGAGGGATGAGGGGGGCAGACTAGTGCAGATTTCCTTCCCCTGGTGGCTGTGCTCAGTGTCCAGCAGTGGCCATATTGGTCCTGTCTCGCCAGCTGCTCCGGGTCTACTCCTGCCAAGGGCTCTAACTTCCCTGGTGCCCACTTATTCCTAACCCTTGTTTTCTGGGTTTGTCATCTGCAAGGTAGCATTCCATAATCTTTCTTTCCCACATCATTATTCTGAACCTGTTTCTGCTGTTTCCATCCAAGAACCCCAAAGGGGCAGAGGTATTAGAAAGGATGAGGCAGTACTGTGCAGAAATGGATGGTCCCCAAACTGTTTAGTGAGAGGAAAAAGTGAAAAAAGCAAGATGTGACCAGATGGCAAGCCCCTGAGTGTAGGGGCTGGGTGTGACTGGTTTACAGCTGGAACCTAGAGGAGGGCTATGTCCTGTGGGCTGATGGGGCACATCTTGATCCTCACATGACACCACATATAAGGAGGCCCACAGCTGCCCACTTGTTGGGGAGGAGGTCATCCTGGTGGTCTTTGTTTCTGCTTCTAGGAGTGCAGAGAAAAGGGATCACGATACAAAAAAACTATGGATTCCTCAAGGCCAAGAAGGAGTGGTGACAAGAGCCAGGCAGGTAGGGATTCTCTAGTGTCCAGATCCAAGGCTAACACATCTTGTTGTCAAAGGAGCCAATGTAGGAACCACACAGGACTATGTTCTGCAGATATCACGGTGATACCCATACCCACCTATGCCTTCAAGTCAATTCTGACTTATAGCAACCCACAGGGTTTCCAAAGTTGTAAATCTTTATGGAAGCCGACTGCCACATCTTTCTCCCCTGGAGTGGCTGGTAGGTTCAAACTGCCGACCTTTAGGTTAGCAGCCAAGCACTTTGACTACTGCACTACCAGGGCTCCTCATGGGAATAATAAATAGTAACAATACATGTTCATATCTACTGATCCAGGGCCTACCATGTGAATGGCCTTTCTCCCACTAATTCTGTGTGGAAGGAACAATTACCACCTGCACTTTGTAGGTAAGGAAACCCTCTCAGAAAGGTTATATAACAAGCTAAGTTCATACAGCTGGTAAGTGGCAAAATCAGGATGAACACTCAGGCGGATTTTCTGAGTTCTAACCACAGGCCAAATTCTCCAGAGGCTCTGGCCTTGCCTCCCCCACTAGGCTCACAGTGAGGATCTGAGCCCCCCAGAGCCCCTCTGTAGCACGACAGCATGAGTCCCCACATCAGTGGTCTCCACTGCCGTTCAACCCACATGCTCCTTTACTGTCCCCTAGACTTCACATTCCCCTTTCCCCCTCCCTTCTACCTGCCTTTGGCAACCACTAATAAACTTTTATTTCTGTAAAAGTCTATTCTTGATATTTTGTATAAGCAGGATAATACAATGCTTGCCCTTCTGTGACTGACTTATTTCATTGAGTATGTCCTTAGGGTTCATCCATGTTGTAGCATGTATCAGACCTTCCTTTCTCTTTATGGCTGAGCAGTATTCCAGTGTATGTTATGTACTACTTTTTTAAAAAATATTTTAGTGTTTTGGATTTACAAAACAGGTTCTCATTCAACAATTTTTATACATGCTGTTCTGTGACATTAGTTACAGTTTTCACAATGTGTCAGCATTCTCATTATTCCCATGCGGTTTGTTCTGTTTCTCATCCTTGCTTTTGTGTAAATGTTTATAATTTGTCTCATATAGTTAATTGTTTAAGGGACATGTTACTCATGGGTGATATTATTTTATAAGCCAATCTATTCTTTGGTTGAAAGGTGACTTCTTGGAGTGGTGTACCACCTTTTGTTTATCCATTCACCTGTTGATGAGCATTCGTGTTGGTTTCTACATTTAACAACACCACAATGAACACGAATATACAAATATCTGTTTGCATACCTGTTTTTAATTTTTCGGGGCATATACCTAGGAGTGGACCCAGAATTGATGGGTCATTTGGTAATTCTATGTTTGACTTTTTGAGAAACTGCCAAAACTGTTTTCCTTAGCAGCTGTGCCATTTTACAATCCCGTCAGCATGGATGAAGGTTCCAATTTCTTCACATCCATCCTACCTGTCAGGCTTTCTGATAAACTGAAGTTAGTTTATGGATGATCCCTTCTCCATCAGAACTTTCAAGCTGGAGCTTTGGCATGGTCCAATCTGAGAATGTTTCAACCAAGGCCACCAGCATTCTTCCAATGCTGTGTTGGGCTAGCTCCTTTTTCCTACCATATGAATTCTCTATGTTCTTCTTCTGACTATTACTGGGTGGTGTGATTCTCCTTGTCATTTCACTGTTACCAACATCAGATGACTTGGCTTCGCAAACAACCAGTGTTACCAACAAAACCTCACACGCGGATGCTGTAATCTCAGCCAGCGTGGTGTAAACAAATGACAATGTGTGCATCTGCACAAGTGAGAGAGAGAGAGGGTGAGAGAAAGCAGGCAGAAGAAGGCCTTCCCAGAAGGAGTATCCCAGGCCCCAGGCAGAGCTGCCCTTTTAAAGACAGAAGATGCACAGTTCTTACACAATTCTTAAATTTATTTGTCCTAAATAAATATAATCCGAGAACATCCATTTCAATGTTCCCAAATATTCTCTCTCCCCCCAAAGGTGCAGTTTAAAATACGAGTGCACATTTGTAGTGTATGTTCTTAGGTTAGGCCCTGGAGGTGCTTGTCTGAGCTGTATAGGCCGGGCCTAGCTGGAGAGACACCCCTGAGTTCCATTCCCTGGGCTGGGCCTGTACCTGGCCTAGCTCCTCCCCAGGATCCCTGTGTAGAGAGGCCTGTTTAATGTTCCCAGTACCTGTCTGGGCTGCCTCTTCCCTCTACAGCCCAAAGCAAGCAACATTCAGAACCCTGTGGCCTATGGCCATCCCTTGCAAATCTGCAAATAAAAGTTCTGTCCTCTGATACCACGTACCACCACAGGCCCATTTCTAGTGGGCACAGAAAAGCTTACTCCTGGCCCTGAAAGCAGCTCACCCAGGACAAAGGGGTGGAATAGACAGCTGGAAAGTAGAGGGAAACACTCTCCCTTCAACCCTGCCAGGAACTGAGAGGCCCCAAAGAAGGAAGAAACACTCCCCCAGTTACCCTCTTGGGCCCTGTCACACCAGGGAGCAGGAGGATGGGGAGACACCCTTTGTCTTGCTCTTTGAGGCTGAGTTCAGAGGTTTGGGCCCACATCCTGGTCTGAGGCTGTCTCACCATCATCTGGGGACTCCTGGATCAGATTCAGAGGAGTCAGTCACAGCTTGATGCTATTAGCCAGAACCACACCCTGGGGCCAGCATCTCCTTCCCTTTGCCTATCTCCAACAAAGCCAGGGTCCCACCAAGCCACCCTCTGTTCTAGCTCCCAGCCCACCCATAGCCGCGTGGCCCACCATTGCGTGACTCCCCATTACCAGACTGAGCCCTCCGTCCTGCTGCAGGGTAGCATAGAAACGCAGTACGCGGGGGTCACAGCATATCACTGTGGGGTCAAAGTCCAGCACACGCAGGCCCTGCAAGCTGCGGGCCCGGGAAAGGGCCACATAGGCTTGACCACTGGCAAACACACGTCCCAGAGAGATCTCCACGCAATCCAGGGACATGCCCTGAGGGATGGAGGGACGGACATGGAGCCACCTCAGCCTGAAGCCCCTGGTGTCCAGAGCCTGACCCAACCTTCACCAGTCCAGCTGCAGCCCCTGGGTCTTTTTGCCCAGTTCAGAGATGCTCAAGACAGAGGGATGGGCTGACAGCAGATAGGTGTCTGAGTACAAAGGAGGTTCCTATAGATCTATAAGAGTTGAGGTGTAAGGATGAAAGAAAAGAGCTCAGGCTTTGGGCTGAAAGGCTTGGAGCAAAAATCCTGGCTCTGCTCACTAGGTGTGTGACCTTAGACAAGTTACTTAACCTCTCTGAGCCTGTTTCCTCTTCAGTAAAATGGGAATGATGCTTATATCTATACCTTGTATAGTTGTGTAAAGATTAAATTGAACATATCCAGTAGGACGACACAAAATGGTGGCGCAGAGATGGCAAAGTGAGGAGTACGTGTCTGGGAATGTCAGAGAAGGGGCCAGGGTGGGAAATACACCAAAGGAAGGTTATTCTACTTCTGGTATGGAATTTTCCATCCAATAAGGCCTTCAAGACCCCTCCTTAACATATCCCAGGCCTATTCTGTCCACCCTCTGTCCTTGCCTGTTCCCATCCCCCATACTGGGTGCTCACCTGGCTTTTGTGGATGGATATTGCCCAGGCCAATTGGAGGGGCAGCTGCTGCCGACTGAGTAGCTGGCCCCCGGTGGCCTGCACTGTCCAGCGGTCAGCACGGATGACCTCAGTGACTCCACACAGGAATCTCACCTGGGGTAGCCCTGGTGGAGGTGTGGAGAAATTGAGCCTTTCAGCCCTGCTTTAGGGTTCAGAGGTGGGGAGCAAGGACCCCTCCCTACTGCCGCAAAGCCTCCCCTATCACTTACCCCTCCCCTCAGTCTCAAACCCAACGACTACTCCTCGGGCCCCATTCACCAGGCCCCGAGACACTGCTAGGTTCTTCACCAGCATGACCTGCAAGAGAAAAAGAAATGGAGGGATGGAGAACAGGCTGGCCTCACCTCCAGAACCTGCTGTTCTCAGAGGCTGGGGAATAGGGCTGTCATGGAGGGCCACCAAGTCCCTGTCCTTAGTTCTGCCAGTGGTTGGCTGTGACCCCTGGGGAAGCTGCCTTATTCTCCTGGGTCTCAGTTTCCCCTTTGTGTCAAAGGAGAATAACACTAGCTCAGGATACCTTAGAAAAAAAAAAAACAAACAAACCCACTGCCATCGAGTCACTTCTGACTCATAGTGACCACCATAGGGTTTCTGAGGCTGTAAATCTTTATGGAAGTAGATTGTCTGATCTTCCTCCCATGGAGCAGCTAGGGGGTTTGAACCACTGACCTTCTGGTTAGCAGCCAAATGCCTTACCCACTGTGCTCCTCATACCTCAGAAGAAAGTAGTAAAGATCAGTGAGGTAATAGATATCACAGTGCTTTGAAGGTCTGTTCTATGGGGTATATATGTGGGCCACAAATCTTGAGGGATAGCCCTCAGGTCCCACCATCCTCTCCCCCAGCCCTACTGCACTTGGTTTCTTCCTATTGGATGACCTTTGGGACTGAAGAAAGTCTCCCATTCCACTCACCCCCAACAGCATGAGAGGACAAGGAATCTCACATCTGTAGGGTACATTACAGAAGACAATCGTGGGATAAGTATTTGCTCCCCATTTTACAGATGATAAAACTGAGCTTTAGCAAAGGAAAAGAAAGTGTCCAAAGTAACACTGCTTGGAGCTCTATGGGGCAGGGGAGGAGGGCAGTGGAAAGCTGAAGATAGGAAGGTGGGTGGGAATAAGCGGGAGGGAGGTTTGGCGTGGTCACTGCCGGGCGCACTGGTTGAGGATCTGCCTGAACAGAGGGTGTAAGGAGGAGGGAGGCCCATGCAGGACAGTCGAAGTTCCCAGGGTCTAGGCTCTGCTTCCCACTCACCTGGGTCCCCAGCTTTAGCTGAAGGAGCCGACTAGCAGGACACTGGGCATCCAGGGTCTGGGCCTGCTCAGGGTCACTGTCCATGGCCTCAAAGCTGTGCACCTCACCTGGGAAAAGAGTCAGGAAAGCAGATGATAGATTACTGACTTGTGACTCAGTTTCCAAAAATACTTGTTAGACAGGGATGTGGGGGAGAAGGGGGTCTGGTGGCCAGGAAAAGGCTCTGTGGGGATAGTGCAGGTCTAACTGGAGTGCTAGAGTCAGAGGCCTGGGATCAAGTCTCAGTTCCAGCACTTACTGGCTGAGTGACCTTGGCCAACTCACTGTACCCACAGTTACATCTGCAAATGTAAGGCCCTTTATGGCCACTGAGGTTGGGTGCATAGATATCCAAATGATCTCATGGGTGGGGATGCAGGGGGCCATACCTACCTGATGGCTCTCCCAGCGGGCCCTGCCCAACCCTAGCTCCCTGCTCACCTGGCAGCTCCTGCAGTCGCCTCTCGTTGGTGAGGGCCACATCATCCTGGTGAGTGCAGAGCCTCGTGGCCACAATCCCATCTCGCCCCACCTTGTGGGCAGCTGTGGCCCGGATTTGGCGAGTCATCTCATCTGAGCACCTATGGAAGCCAGGCTGTCAGGAGAGAGCCCACCTTAACAACCAGGGAAGGTGGGGAATGTGAACATATGACCCAAGCAGCAAGCCATGAGCCAGTCCTTGGGCTGGAAAGGGCCAGGGCAAGATATGCTAGCCCCCAGTCTGCCCAACTTGTCCCTTACCCACCTGGACTCCAGACATGGGGGACGAGCCATGGGCTAAGGGAATGCTGGGCTGTGAGCATGAGTGAGCAGGGAGCAGCTAACTACCCTCCCACCCCACAATGCTCCTGAGGAAGCAAGTGAGGGAATACAAGCCACAGGGTTGAAGGACCTAGACAAGGAAACAGTAATCAGACCAGCCCCCAGGGTATAATCCTCTAGCCCCTTGCTTGGTGCCTTGGTGGCAAAAATCCACCCTGTTTTCTATTTTCCCCAATCTCAAGCCTGGACACAGCAGCAGCTCAAATGGGAAGAAGGGGACAGCTTGAGGACCCTGAGCCTTCCTCTTGTCCCCCATGTGTTTTATGCACCTTCCTACCTACCTCCTGACTCGACGGCACATAACAACAACAACAACAACAAGCTACCTCCTGGGAACTCTGATAGTGTAGTGCCTAAGGCACTTGACTGCTAACCAGAAGGCTGGCGGTTCAAACCCACCAGCCAGCCGCTCCATGGAAGGAAGATGGGGCAATCTACTTCCGTAGTAATACTGCCTCAGAAACCCAAGGAGGGGTCGCTATGAGTCGGGTCCGACACGACAGCACACAACAACAACAACCTACCTCCTGGATCTGTGCTAGGAGTCGTGGTAAGAGACTCCGGGCTCTGGCCCCATTTCGTCTACCCTTCTGGCCTCCTTTCCATTCTCACACTAGAGTAGGCATGGCATCCCAACCTTCTGTGCTGGCTGGGGAGGCATTATGTCTACAGAGCTGCCCACCTATACACCAAAAGGCCCCTTAGACTCTAAAAGTAGAAGGAACTTGGGTTTTGGAGTCAAGACAGACTTGCTTCAAATCCCAACACAGCTACTTACTGGCTGTGACTTTGGTTAGGTCACATCAACTCTTTTTTGCATCTGTGAAATGGGAGTACTAACATTGCTGAATTCCTCCTATGTGTCTATATACCCATCCTTCTCTTGTCCTGCCCAGGTCTCCTCTCTCTGTAGAGACCATGCCCCAAAGACAAGCATTTCTCTCCCTTCCCAGTGCTCCACTCTAACTTGAACTTGGATTCTCATTCCGTCGTCCCTTCCCTTTCCAACAGGGCTTACCTGCCCAGCCTCACAGCCTGTAGCAGAGAGACGAAAGTCTGGTCTGCCTGCCTCCACACTTCAGTCAGCTCCAGGATCACTGGGACACACCTCTTCCAGCTCTTGGCCTGGTGGGGTGGGGTAAGTCAGGGAGCAGAGAAGACAACCACAAGGGTGAGGGCGGGGCCAGAGGGTGAGTGGTACCTGGAAGCAGAACTTTGGGGGCTGGGAGCCCTTGGTAACAGGTGGTAGTTGTAGGAAGTCCCCACAGATAATGAGTTGGATCCCTCCAAAGGGCTTGTTCTGCTGCCGGACAGCTCTGGGGAGGGGCATGGGGTGATTTAGGTACCAGGGTGGGCAGATTCCACATGCCAAAACTACCAACCAGACTCCAGACCTTACTTACTGCCCTCAATGCATATACTGACCTGGCCACAGCCTCCAGCTTGTCAAACAGGTCTGCCTCCACCATGGAAATCTCATCAATAACCAGACGCTGACAGTTCAGCCAGCCCTGCCGCACACCTGGTCTCTGGGCCAGGGCCACACACTGGGCCAGGGGGTCCTGGCCTGAGCCGATGCCTGTGAGTGACACTATTCAGCCTGGGCTGAGACCCCAGCCCCTTCTCAACCTCAATTCCTTTACCCTCTCCACAGACCTGGCTTACTCATAGCTCAAGCCCCAGAGACTCCCACTTACCTGCAAAGGCATGAAGGGTGGTACCCCCAATGTGACAGGCTGCCACCCCAGTGCTGGCAGTGGCCACAGTGCCTGTTGGGGGCAGTGAACCAAGGATACGCTTCAGCAGGTATGACTTCCCTGTCCCTAGGCAAGGAACAAAGTCAGAGCCATTTGCTCTTCATCTCCCCTGGTCCCCTTACCCCTACTCTGTCCCCTTCTACCTGCACTCCCAGTGAAGAAAATGTTCTGGCCTTTCAGAACAGCCCTCAGCACAGCAGCCTGTTCTGCAGAAAGCTGTGGTTTGGTTGGGGGCAAGCTCAGTCTCTTCACAGGCAGGGGCCACCTTGGGGCTTCCTGGGGAAAGACAGGGTGATCTCAGAGTCCCCTCCTACCTCCTAGACGTTGCCCCCCAACCCCCTTCTTGGCTTGGATGCAGTAGTAGGCCTGGCAGTCCTTTGTCTCTGTTGGCTTCACTCCTTGGAACCCTTGGGCAGAGATAGGGATGTGACCCCAGCCCTGGTTCACCTGGAGATCTTGACAGCAACTATTAAGATCCAGGCCTCTTCTTGAGGAAGGATCCAAGGCTGGGTCTCTACTGACCTCTGCTGCCCTGAATTCCCCCCTTCCCCCATTGTGGGTCTGGGCTCTCCCCCAGATCCTTTCCCTAGGTTCTTTAATCCTTCTGGTTCTTTCACCCAGCCTTCCTTCTCACTTACCTTCCTGTTACAAAACTGTCTCTTGCACACATGTCAAAACACACAAGCAAAACCCTCCCAAACCAGTGGCCTTTCATGATCCATCTTCATCTTCCTCCCTTAATTTCAAACCCAGATGATCTGTGATACACCTGTCTCAGTCCACAAACACTGTCAAAGCCACTAGACTCTGACCACTTAATTTTATTGGACCTCTTTGTTGCCCCTGGCACTGCAGCCTTTACTGTCTCTCAAAGCTGCTCCCTTCTGCTGGGCTGCTATATTCTCCTTTTCCTTTCCACACCTCCTTCTCTGCTTCCTCTTTGTGCCTGGATGCTCCCCAAGGCTCAGGCCTGAACTCCCTTTTCCTGCTATCTTACCCAGTCTTGAGAATTCCACTATGAGAAACAGGCACAATTTCCACATTCCTGTCATGTACAGATGTCTGATGGGCATCTACTTTGAGATAACCAGCAGCCTCCTCAAATACTACCACCATCTTTTCCTCAAACTTGGGCATCCTCAGCCTCTTCCATCTATAGGATGTCACACTCACTCCCAAAGCTGTCCCTGTTTTCCTGTCCTTGCTGTGCTCGGCCCCAGTCCGGGGCTTCTTTGGCAACTTCACCGGAGTGGTGTCCGGGGTCCGGGTGGCCGCCACCACGCGCCGCAGCTCCTCAGGCTGCACTGGGCTGATGGTAACGAAGTCGCGGGGCCGCGGGCCGAGCAGCTGCGCGCGGGCAGAGGCAGGCCGGGGACCTGGGGCAGCAGCCAGCTTGAGGCGCAGCGTACGTAGGAAGCGGCGCAGGCGGTCCGGGGGGCAGTCGGAGAGCAGCAACTGCACAGTGCCAGCGCCCGGCCGTGGAGCGCCGTCGGCAGGGAGACGCAGCGCGCTGCGTCCGGTCGCTGCAAACCGCGTGAAGAGGCGCGCTGCGCGCAGGGGAAAGCACCGCGGCCGCCCAATCTGCCCCGGCCCCTGCAGTCTCAGCATCAGCTCTCGGCGCTCATTGCGACCCAGGCTCAGCTCCGCGGTGCGCAGAGACTGGCGTTTTCGCGGTTGCCCGCCAGGGCTCAGCTCCTCTACAGCTACGCTGCACCGCAGCTCCGCATCCTCGCACTCTGCTGCCACCGTCTCGGTGCCGGATAGCATCGTCGCCGCTGCCTCAGGTCTTCTAAGGGACCGAAGCAGAGGTTGTCGAGATAGGTTCAAGGGGCATACTGGGTAGTAGAGAGGGGACCCAGTTGAGGGACACATGGGGTTACGGTGGCTGTCACCGGTAAAAGGACTCTATAGACAGCCGAAGATCAACTCTTAGAAAGGTACTCCACTACACAACAAATTGCGGAGCGGCAGATGGGCGGTGTCACGTGCATTTAGGATTGAGGAAACCCAGGCTGTTCCGAAGGAAAGCAAGGGCCACAGAAGGAGTGGACCACTGAGCAGAGAAGCAGATTGCTTTAAAGAGATACAGGGCGAGCACGGGAATCCTCACAGTCCTCTGGAATGGGAATCGCACGTGGGGAGATGAGAAGGGGCCTGGCATATAAAAAGCGCTTTCTGTTTTCCAGATACGTGCCCTGGTTTATTTGGTCTCTCTATTCCTTGTGTGTTTAAGTGGAAGTTAATACTTGCCCTTTTTAAGCCACAACTCTTGGTATGCGCTTCCCACCTCCACGGTAGGTATGGGAGCTCCTTCCGTGTGACCCATTCATGTGCACCCTCCCCAGGGATTCTAACCCCTTGAAGAAGTCAAACGTTCCGCCTCCCACCACGGAGTTCGGGTGGACACTCACTTTCTTGAGCTGGCACTTTGATGAACAAGGTGATCTGCCGGATCTGCTGGGGACAGCAAAGTTCGGAAACTAAGAACTTTCAAATACTCGGAGTAGAACATCACCCTATCACCGGACGGATCTTTAAATTCTTCAGCCAATCAGGGGTAGGGGCGTGTAAACAGGCTTGCCTTTCCTTGAAGTATAACTCCACCAGCTCGGGATATACCAATCGCACGCAGGAGAGATGGGGTGGATGGTTGTGGTCGGAGCATACCAAGTATAGTGTACGAATGGGCGGGGCAGGGGGCTGGGCCCTTACCTGTAATCTAGAGTGCTCAAACGCGGCTCCGAAGATTTATTTTCAGACCCATTCTTTCGGCACTCCTTCACCCCCAAATCCTGGCTCCTCTCCTGGAGACCACACGCAGCACCGAGACTTGGGAAGAGCTGCCTCTGCTTTCTTGTACCCTCTGTTTCTGCTCTGAGGATCACTACCGGCCTCCCAGCTCTCCGTCCTGCTCTGCCTTGTAATGGTCATTTCGCGCGTAGCTCTTTGTCACTGACTGAGGTGCTGGGTACTCAGAGGGTACAAGGAAAGTGTGTCTTCAAGGAAGTCTAATTAGAATTATTAACTTTTATTGAGGTGAAAACATACACAAGACATTCACCAATATGACTTCCACATTTACAGCTTGGGGACATTGATGACATTTTTCACGTTGTGCTACTATTATTTCTATCTTTTTCCAAAATACTCCACCAACCTTTAGCAATGCCTCGCAAACAAAAGCCTCCTCTTTTCCCCTCCCCGCTACCCCTGGTAATCACTGATAATCTTTAGTTTCTTTTTTTTTTTTTTCCCCAACCTATATAGGAATTTTCCCTCCCCAAAAAGTTTCCTTCCATATATAAACCTTTCCTTGATTTTTTACAATAGTAGACTTATATAATATTTGTCCTTCTGTCTTTATTCATTGAGTCCTTATTTCACTCAGCATGTCCTCCAAGTTCATCCAGGTTATGCAGTATTTTGCATTCTTCATTATTCTTTAGTGTTGAATAATATCCCATTGTGTGTATGTACCACAGAGGTTATCCATTCCTCTATTGATGGACACTGAGATTGTTTACATTTCTTTGCTATTGTGAATAGTGCTGTGATGAACATGGGTGTGCGTATATCTATTTCTGTCCTGGCTCTCACTTCTTTAGGGTATATACCTAGTAATGGGATTGCTGGATCAAATGGTATTTCTATTTCCAACTTTTTAAGGAATCGCCATACCAATTTCCACAGTGGTTGTATCATTTTATAGTCCCACCAGCAGTGTATGAGAGTCCCAAACTCTCCACATTCTTGCCAGCATTTGTTACTTCCTGTCTTGTGAACTTTGCTATTAATGCTGGGATGAGATGGTATCTCCTTGTTGTTTTGATTTGCATCTCGCTAATGGCTAATGATTTTGAACATTTCTTCTTTGGTGAAGTGTTTGTTCATGTCTTTTGCCCATTTTTTAATTGGATTGTTTGTCTTTTTAATGTTGAGATGTTAAGAGTTTTCTATAAATTTTAGAGATAAGTCCTTTGTCAGATCTGTCATTTGGAATATTTTTTCCTTCAGGGAATTCTTATCTCTTCTTTTGCACTGGATGCCTGGGGAATTTTTAAATTATCTTCTTTCCCTATTAGAAACTTGGATTTCCCTAGCTGGAAGGGATCTCTGAAGTGAATCTAGCCCCTCATTTTACAGATGGTAGCTACCATGAATTGAATTACCCTAATTTTTCAAATAAGGAAAATGAGGTGCCAAGAGGTTTTACCAAAACCATGCCTTGAACCCAGATCTAACCTAACTAAACCTGCTGGCTTAACCTCTATACCACACTGCTCCCAGGTCTTATTTCATGAAGGGAGTGGGACAAAGCTAGGGGAATCTGGCTCCTGACACTCACTGAATTGTCCCATCCCTACCAGTTACATGTTATCCTAAGCAAGTTTCCTTAACATCTCAAGGTTTTGCTTCCTCATCGGTTAAGACAGGAGAAAAATGAAAATGCTTTAAAACTGGGCTGATAGTTACACAACTCTGTGACTGTACTTAACACCAATAAATTTTACATGTTTAATGAGTGAGTTGTCTGGTGAATTATATCTCAATAAAGCAGTTATCAAAAAAAATCATGAGAAGTATTTTTCTTATTCAGTGTTGACTTGACCTAGTGTCATAGGTCATTACCAATGAGTAAACAAATAGATTAAAGAAAATTCTCAAAGTTGCTGTAATAGGCAGAATAATGTCCCCCCAGATATCCATGTTTTAATCCTCAGAATTTCTGAATATATTACCTTACATGGAAAAAAGACACTTTGCAGGCATTATTAAGTTAAGAATCCTGAGAAGGGAGATTATCCTAGATTATCTGGGTGGGCCCAGTGTAATCACAAGAGTCCTTATCAGGAAAGCAAGGAGGCAGATGAGTCAGGGAAGATGTGACTAAGGAAGCAAAAGGTCAGTGGTTCAAACTCACCAGCTGCTCTGTGGAAGAAAGATGAGGCACTCTGCTTTCGTAAAGATTTATAGCCTAGCAAACACAATGGAGGTCACTATGTGTTGGAATCAACTCGATGGCAGTGAGTTTGGTTTTGATTTTTATCCATCTATCCAAAGGAGCCCTGGTGATGCAGTGGTTAAGCCTCGGCTGCTAACTGAACCACAGTTTGGTTATCCATTCTTCCGTTCATGGGCACTTAGGTTGTTTCCATCTCTTTGCTATTCTAAATAGTGCTGTGATGAACATGGTGTGCATATATCTATTCGTGTCCCGGCTCTCACTTCTTTAGGATATATACCTAGTAATGGTATAGTAACTGACAGGTTGGTGTTTTGGAACTCAGTAGCTGATCTGCAGAAGGAAGAAAAGGCAGTCTGCTTCCATAAAGATTACAGCCTATGGCTCAGTTCTACACCATCCTATAGGCTCTTTATGGTCGGAAACAACTCAACAGCAACACACTTTGTTTTTTATCCATCTACCCATTCCTACATCCATCAACTTATCATTTTGTTACGCATTTTAGATTTGCAGACATTAGAACATTTCACTTCTAAACACTTCAGCATGTGTGCCATTAACTAGAGTTCGGTATTTTCCACCTTTCTAAAGTAAATTTTACATACAGTGAAATCAACAATCTTAGGCATATCCTTAGAGGAGTTTTGACTGTGTAACCTAAACCCCTGTCAGGATATTGGATATCCTATCCAATACTGTAGCCACCAGCCACATATGCCTATTTAATTTTAAATTAATTAAAATTAAATATTCAGTTCTTTGGTCACAGTAGCCACATGTAAAGTGCTCAGTAACAATAGCTACCACTGGACAGCACAGATACAGGACGTTTCCATCTTTGCAGAGCATTCTATTGGACAGCAATAGAACATTACTGTCATCTAGAAAGTTCCTTCAGGTCACTTCCCGGCCATCCTCAAACCTCAATCCCATGGCAATCCCTGTTCTGAATTTGTTTTCACCATACATTATTGTTGTTGTTGTTATGTGCCCTCGAGTCGCCCGCGACTCACAGTGACCCCTCGTTGGGTTTCTGAAGCAGTATCTCTATGGAAGTTGATTGCCCAACCCTCCTTCCAAGGAGTGGCTGGTGGGTTTGAACAGCCAGTCTTCTGGTTAGTAGTCAAGTGCCTTAGGCACCATGCTACCAGAGCTCCTATATATTAGTTTAGGTTATTTTAGAACTTCTTATAAATAATCAGTATGTATTCTTGAGTGGAAGGCTTCTTTCACTAAGCAATAGTAATTTTGAGATTATTCATGTTGTTAGGTATTTCAGTAGTTCGTTCTTTTTTATTGTTGAGCAGTATTCCATTGTAATGGATACTGTTTATCCATTTTCCTGTTGGTAGAAAGTCTACTTTTTGTGGATTTATGCTTTATTTTGGGTAAATACCTTGGGGACAAATTGCTGGGTCATAGGGTATGTGTATGTTTAGTTTTATATGAAACAGCCAGATCTTTTCCCAAGACAGTTGAACACCCATCGAGGTTTTTGTAAGAGGAACAACACTTAAATCCTTGTAGGGAAAGGAATCAAATACCTTACAACTGCCTGGCGGTGGATTAACGGTCCTCTGGCACCGTCCCCGCCCTCACACCGCCCCACCCGCCAGCCGGATCCTGACTGGCCTGTAGAGGAGAGAGGCGGAGCCAGAGGTGTCCTCACAGTTGGGGCCGGACTTCCTCCCTGTGGGCGGTTCTCAGCATCCGCCCGGACCTTTGCTCATTGCTGCCACCGCGAGGTCAATCCCAAGCAAAGCGTTACTCGGCTCATCTCCTCGCTTAACCTGACGCGTGGTTTTAAGGGAAGCTCTTAGGAGGAACGGGTTTTCTTCTTATGAAATTTCCTCCCCTGTAACTCCTTCCGTTTTATTTGCTTTCCCTCCTCTTGCTGGGAGGTCTCAGTCCAATCTCCGACTCATTAATAACAATGACATTAGCAATGAACTGATTGGTTTAAAAAGTCCATTTTCGACATTATATTCGTTGATTCTCAAAAGAGTATTCCTCTCACCTTAACCAAACCAAACAGAGCCGAGTCGATTATGACTCATAAGGACTCTGTAGACAAAGTCGAACTGTCCCATCGCGTTTCCAAGACTAAGTCTACGGAAGCTGAGTGGGAGCGGTTGGTGGGTTCCAACCACCGACCTTTCGGTTAGCATCCGAATGCTTTAATCTCTGGGCCACCAGAGCCCCTCCCTTCCACTTTACTGGGTCCTCTCTCTCCAAGTTTTTGCCCCTCCCCCCACCCCTTGGGGCCCGGAAGCTTACAAGGACAGCCTTGGAGAGGAGCTGAACAGGAGAGAGTATTGCATGGTGTTCCAGCTTCCAGGGCACTGTGCATTTCTTCATCACACTGGGCAGCAAGACACTCATTTTGTTGAATCTGAGTATTATTCCACATAGCTAACCACTATCTCCTGCAAACCTCTCAATTTCCAGGAGATACACTCTTCTTGTTTCTTCCTACCTGTTGGCTGTTCCTTGTCAGGTCTCCTTGGTTAACCTCTCCTCCTCAACCAGACTTCTCAATGTGGGAGGCCCCCAGCCTTGGACAATTATTTTCCCCTTGTCTCTTCCAATCCCATTCAACATGCTGATTCCCAATATTTTATCTTTAGACTGCCCTTCTCCCCTGAACTCCACACTGTATCTCCATTTGTCCACCTGTAATCTCCACACAGATGTCTATCAGTTCCATCAGTTCACTTTCTCCAAAACAGATTCTAATCTTCCCAATGCCACATACACCTGTTTTTCTCCTTGTCTTTATCATCTCAGTAAATGGCACCACCATTTTTGGCTCAAGTTAAAAACCCACACCACAGTCTTAATTCCTTCTTAACTACCACATCCAACTCACAACCGACACCTTGTTTCTGCTTCTAAAATGTATTTCTAATCTATTCACCTCCCTCCATCCCCTTCCCACACCCTAGAACTAGCAGCCCATCCTGTCTCCCCTAGATTACAGCAGTAATCTTTGGCTTTTGTGTTTAGAACATGTCTGACACATAATAGACTCTCAATAAATATTTATTAAATGAATAAATATTTGAATAATGAAACCATTATCTCAAGTCTTGACCCCACCTTTTATCTCTTCACTATCTCTTGAATCTTTCCCTCTGAGACTCGTAATGATTGCTCTGGTTCAGGCTTCATCACTTCCTACCTGGATTTCTGTAAAAATCTCCTACTCAATGGACCTCCTTGTCTCTTTTGCCCCCATTGTCCATTCTCCACACAGCAGCCATGAAAGTGAGCTTTTAAAATGACAATCAGATGTTGTCACACCCTGACTCAACCCTCCAGTGGTTGCTGCTACTTGCAGGAGGAATTTCAAATCCCTTAGGTCAGCACTCAAGGCCCTTTGTGGCTCTGGCTCCTGCTGCCTCCTTGTCAGAATCTCTCCTCATTCCACTACCCACCCCAAGTATTATGACCACACAGAAACTGCCCACAGTTCCCCTAGCAAGTCAAGATGTTTTACATGTTCTCACTTTTGTTCATGATGTTCTTTCTTCCCAAACCTTCTCCCATTCCTCCACCCAGCTAACACTGCTAGAATACAATTCAGTCATTCCAGCCCCTCCTTGGGAACTGACTCTCCCCAGGAGCTGTGTACTCCTTAATCATAGCACTTCTCAGGACTTGTCCACCCTTCTTCTGGTTGATCAGCTTCCCAAGGCAGGGTCTGCATCTTGCATGGCCTTGTCACACAACACTGCAAAACAGGTCATTTAGTAGAGAGGTTAGGAGTACAGAGTGGAGTCAGATAGGGTTTGAATCCTAGTTCTACCACTTCCAGGTGAGTAGTCATTTAATGTCTGGATGAGGGATGGAAAGCACTCCGCTTTAGGAGGCACTCAGCAAACTTTTTTGATTGATTAATGGCACAAATGCAGAACAGATTCCATCACTTCCATGTCAAAAGCCTTCAGTAGCTTCCCATTGCCCTGAGTTTAAAATATAGTCTTCTCAACACAGCCTGCGAGGTCCTCCCTGCATTGAGCCCTCTCTTTCCCGCCTGGTCTACACACACACACACACACACACATACACACACTATGCTGTTTCATGACATTGCTTACATTGTCCCCTCTGCCTAGAATGCCTGTCCTTCCTTCTTTCTCCTAGTTTTGATGCCCCTCCTATGTGCATTTACACTTATATTCAACACATGGTCTTCTCATTATCTGTTTATTTATCTCTCCCAGTAGACACACACACACCCAGGACCCTGATGTATCTTCCAGCCATTGGTATATAGGCAGACAGTCAAGGCAAATAAAATATGGGTGTTGAATGGATGTGTACACTATGAAGGCAACATCCAGCATGGGCAGGATGGGGAAACCGAGGTCAGAGTGGATATCAGTGGCTCACTCTCAAAAGTGACCTAAATGGGTTGTTCTGCCCAGCAACACGAATTCTCCAGGGTCCCTGGTTTCCTTCAGGCAAAACCTCAGTTTATAGGTACAGGATCCTTTGGGTCCTCAGGCATGGGGGTCAGTGGCAGCACAGCTCTGTAGATAGAGGAAATAAAGCTATGTGGTGGCTATGAGAGATTGTCATAGACTTTCTCAGATCCCCAGGCTGAATTCCTTCACCCCCATGAGCCTAACCCAGGTCCAGCCCTGAGGACAAAGTGTTCTCCATCTCTTTTTCCCTTGGCACTGGGAAGGCTGGAAAATGGCCTGGGAGCCCGAGGACTGGCAGAAGGCAGTGCTGAAAGGGGAGCTTTGACTAACTGGCGTGGCTGCTGCTATGGCAGCCAAAGGAGGTCACCCGCATTGATCCCACACTCAATTCTTCTGCTGAGGAACGGGGCAGGGTTGATCACGAGATCGGGGGTTGGGGGTTCAGGAGACCCATCACTCTCTCTTTCTCGGGCCTCTCTTTTTCCAAGTGTAAAATGGGTGCAGGGTATAATGTGGTCTCCTCCTCTGGAGTGAAGTGCCCCACCCTACACACCACTTCTTAGCAAGGTTGTCAAGTCTGTAAGATAACCTCTGGGTAGGGGTAGTGGCGGTGGTCTTCAGATATGTGAACCAGGGAGAGAAACAGCTCTAAACGATGCTCAACTAGGGGAGAACACTGCGTTTGGGGACCTCTCAGAGGCAGAACCGACCCTCCCAAAGAGAGCCAGGAGTCAAAACTGCCAGTCCCAGGTCCTTCCGTTTACACCACACTCCCGACGGGGTCTGAGCTCCAGGTCGGAGCTTCCAGGAAGAAGAGAATCAGGAGGTTGTTATTGCCCCAGCTTCGAGGAGAAAAGAAGTGAAGTCGCTTGGTGCTCCCATCTCTGGGCCGGCCAGGGCAGCTCTGCCAGTCCTGCAACCCCAGCTCACTCCTCTCCGTTGTTGTTGTTATTTGCCATGGAGTCGAACCCGACTCATAGCGACCCCTCCTTGGGTTTCCCAGGCAGTGTCACTACACAAGTAGATTGCCCAATCTCACTCCTCTTAGGAGACCTCAAAAGGACCAGCAGCCAACGCCTCCGACGCTCACTCGGTTTAGCCCCACCCTGGCCACGCCCCTGAGCCCCGCCCCTGAGCCCCGCCCTCCCCCTCGCCTCCGCCTCTAGGCCGGAAGCCCCATCCCCCTCCCCCCGCCCCACCACCTCATCCTTTTACCCTTTCCCAGTTCCTCTCCCTCGGCGTCTCTGGGAAACCTTTCTCTGCTCCGGCTCCCTGCTCCTTCCTCAGTCCTGGCCCTGCCCCGGCTCCTCCACCCGCCTCTCCCTGGCCCCGCCCCTCCCATTTCCCGCCCCTGGCCGGGCCTCCTGGGCGCCCCCCGTTCCCTTCTTCAGGCCCCGCCCACAGCCCCCGGAAGACTCTCCCCGCCCCCGGCCCCGCCTCCCCTGAAGTTTCTTGGGCCCCCGGCGGCTGACGGGACAGAACGTAGAGAGCCGCCGCCCGGCCGGGCGTGGATGGAGGTGTCGGAGTCCGCGCGGCGCCGGGAGTGAGCGGCAGAGCGGCCAGACCTCAGTGGATTCGCCATGGAGGAGGAGGTGAGGACCGGACTGGGCGAGGTGAGGGTGGGGAGGAAGGAGGCTGGATTGGGGTCTTTGAGCCCCTCACGAAGGTTGGGGTCCCGGGTTCAGGCCCTGGCTTGGCTCTACCCACCCCATTCCTTCCGGTCTAGGGACCCCCAACACCCTAGACAGAGCCTAGGCAGGTGGGGCAGGGGTGGGGATAGAGATCTGTGCTGGACACTTCGCAGACCGCATCCTCCTTCATTATCTCTTAGGCTTCGCTCACCAGCCGTGGGAGGTTGTGGTTGTTATTGTCCCTGTTGGACTAACGGGGAGACTGAAGTGAGTTTGGCGACTTGCTGAAAGTAGTCTAGGGAGCTGGACTCAAACCCAGATTGTCCGTTGAATCTCCCCCGCTTTCCTGCCGGTCAGATTAGATCCCGAGAGGGCAAGTTGTATATGTGTGTGTGTGTGTGTGTGTCTATGTGTGTGTGTTGTCGGGGGTCTCTGGGTTCTGTGGTTCCTGTCCAAAGAATCTGAGGCCCTTGCTGTGCCCGGTGATGGGAGAACTGGAAACATTTCATTTTTTCTCCCCTGTATAAGTTCCTTTTGAGTCCTTTTTCCCCCTAGCCTGATCCCTGACCCATATCTGTCTGTGGAGGCTGTAACTTCCTGATCCTGGTCCTTGCCTTCCCCACTTCCTAGGGAGGAAGACCTTCCAACAGGAGCTGGGCTTCTGGACCAGTACTCCTTGAGCCTCCTTCTTCCCCCTCAGGATACTCCTAGTCTAGGGTGGGGTCATGTGCTTTGTGACCCCTGCCCTCTCCTTGCAAACTCAGTTTTCCTAGTAGCTGCATCACCCAAGGGTCCAGCACACACAGCAGACACTTAATATATGCTGGTGGAATGAATAAATTAGGGCCTGCTTGGTCTAGAGAGTGGTGCTGACTTTGCTTCTTATCTCCTGAGGGGGTCACAGTTTCTGTCACCCTAAGCCCAAGGTGAAGGAGTGGGTCTTTGCTTGGATAGGTTGGGAAGAAAGGTAAAACCTTCACTTTTGGGGCAACCCTAGCCAGCTGGGGAGCTTGATGGCCGAGGAGGCTGCTTTTATCCCCATCAGTACCCACCTTCCTACTTCCAGGAGCTACTGCCCAAGGGCAGCTGTGCTGGAAGTGAGTGCTCCCTCTAGGTCAGGCCCTGCATTTCTGTGGGGTGGTAGATAAGTCACTTCCCCTCTTGGCCTGCATTTCCTCTTCTATAAAATATAGGGCCTAACCTCCTCTCTGACAGTAGGATTGTGGCCCCCTCTCTCAGAATGGGTGGAGGTAGGCTGCAAAGTTAGGCCACTATGATTTGCTGTGTTTTTTTGCTGACAGGGGTGGGGCTGCCCTGCCCCAAGCCCCTGCTGCTTTGAGGGCTGGGCTCTCTGCCTGTGGCCCCTCCCCTGCTCCTGGAAGATATGGGTCTGGATTACTCCATTTCCCTGTCTGCTTTGCCCCCCAGTTAAGAGTTCTCCTGGGCTTCCTAGGCCAATGCTTTGTCCAGCTATGCTCATTCCCTCTGATCCTGAGTCTCTAACATTACCACTTACTGACTCCCAGATGCCAAAAGCTCCTGGAATAGCTGGGACATCTGTGGTCTTAACTACCCCTACCCCAGACTCACCCACACAGCCAGGGCTCCCTATCTTCTGTCTCCCCTTTGGCATCTCTAGCTTTCCTTCCCATTTCCTCTCCTACTAGCTTCCCCATGTTTCTCTAGGCCTTAGCGCCCATCTTCGTTTTTCTAAAACACCCCTTAGATCATAGTCACCTGCTGTGTCTCATGACCCCAGACCCAGAGAGGGTATCACCTCACTCCCAAATTACTGCTTTTAGCTCTCTGCCTGTCTTTAAGCTTCCTGTCTCTGCTTGCCGAGCCCCTCAGCCTCAGTGACATCCTCTGTTCAGTGGGCTGTTCCCTATCAGACAGAGGCTTGGTGAAGAAGTGCTTCTGTGGACATCTGCCTGTCTGTATTCTCAGTTTCCGCATCTGTAAATTGAGGCAAGGAAACAATCCAAAACTGCAATGATGTGTGCGCAAGAGCTTTGAAAACTGCAAATGTCAACGAAGCATGTTATTGCTACCCCTGGAGCTGAAATCTCTGCTCCCAGGTTTTCCTGTCTCTGCTCTGAGGTTCTGCCTCCCTGCTGTCCCACAGGCCTGCCTTTCCCTGGCTCTGCTTTGGGCGACACCAGGCTGCCCATTTATCGTCGTTCATTTATCGTCGTTCATCTAGGAAGAGACAGGGCAGTGTCCTATCCCAGCACTGGTTTTATGACTTCTGGCTAATAATCTCTTGCCCTCTCTGGGCCTGGCTTGTTCTGTAGTAAAAGGGTTGACATTCATTGTGCCTTTCCTTCTCCTCTGGGCCAAGGTATTTGTTTCATCTCCTTCTCACACTTCTACCAAAACCCTGACTTCCTAAGGCTTTACCCCACCTGAGAGGTAGGACTGGGGTCATCTTTCAGGGTAGGTCCTATGTCTCTCCCAACAGTCTGGGACCCTCTCAGTCAGGGAGTGCCTATCTTCCACCCCTCCTGATTGAGTACCTCCTTTAGGCAGAGTCTATGTCACCCCCATCGTACTGGAAGTTCCCTCAGGTTGCTGTGTCCCCCATCTGACTGGGAGTTCTCTAAGGATGAGGGTTGTACCTGGGTGAATCCTGTGGCTCCTCTCTGATTGCCCCATCACAGGGCTCTGACATGGTGAGTTCTTACAATTTGGTCAGGGCATCTCTAGGTTGAGTCAAAGGGCAAAGGTTGTCTGTCATAAACGCCCTGTGATGTGAGGTGCTGACTAGCCAACAAGGTTTCTTTTACTGGTGTTTGTCATGGTCTGTGCTGTGTGTTATGGCTTTCCACCCTCTCCTGCCTTTGCACAGGGTCAGGTTCACCAAGGTTTTTTTTTTTAAATGAATGACCCAGAGAACCTCCCACCTCAGGCAAAGGGGAGGCAGGCTGATACCCCGGGGATGCCTCAGGAGCTGCTCACAGTGGGTGGGGAGGGTCTGAGTTAGGATGGATGGGAGGGGAGAGGGCAAAACAGGAAGAACAGTGGTCAGCTGGTCAATAAGAGGAGAGGAGGCTGAGAAACTGGGCTGAACAGGACAAAACCTCTCCTGTGAGCCCTGCCAAGGGGAGAGGCCAATTATTAAAACTTCTTGGGGCAGAGTCAGGCCCCCTGGTTGGAGGGGATCTGAGAGGCAGAGAGAGGGGGCTGGGCAGAGGATGGCAGGCAAGCAGGACCCTGGCTTCTAGCCAGGCTTCCCATAGGGTGGCTCCTGCCATGGGTGATTCCTGACAGGAAAACCCTTTCCTGAACTTTGGTTCATGCCACCTCTAGCCCCTCAATAGCTCCCCCCACCCCAAATCCCAATGCTTTCTGTCTCATTCCTTCCCTGGTGCCACCAGCTTCTCCAGCTAGTCCAGTCATAGTGTTCTTTGGACCTTCTCTGCTAGGCCAGAGAGGATAGTGGTCAAGACACAGGTTCTTGCCTTGCACCCTGGACACTTCACATGGCAGACAGCCCATGAGGCAGGCAGCGGTCACAAACAGAAGGAGTTTAGAAAAGGAGTGTGAGATCCTATGGGGTGGTAGGTGGGCTTCCTGAAAAGCAGGAGGCAAGCCTGGAGCTCAGAGGTGGGCGATATTGGCAGCAGCTTTATACTCCACAGCCCCCATTGCTTTGTTTAAAAGACATGAAAGTCTGTCCATCCAGATCACAGCAGACCAAGAACATGGTCAGTAGTGCTGTAGCCAGTTCTGCCCATAGAAGGGATATGAATGTGTGAAGTGTGGGGGTAAGATTTCCCATATTTTGGTTCTGGGCCTGTGACAGCCTTTAGGGGCCGCTCAGGGGGTTGAACCTCTGGAGATCACATGCTCACTGATAGCTGAACATAGTGTCAGTATTGATGGTATTGATGTGGGGAGGGGCCAGTTGGATGCCAGGATAGAATGTGAGAGCCTTCCCCTTCTTGTCAAAGGGCCCTAAAATGATGTCCCTTCTTCCTCTGGACAGGGTGGCTCATAACTGACCTATGGGCAAGCCTTCCACTTCCTCTTTCCTCCATCTGGGAAGGCCATTTGGGACCATCCACTTCTCTATTTCTCTTGTCATTGATAAATCAAGAGACCCTCAGGGGGCACTGCACATTCCTGGAGCTCGTGAAGCACTGAGGCCCAGCATCTGTAGCCCAGAAAGACCTTGTCCTGAATTCTGAACCATGCCCAGCAAGAACGGCTATGAGGATGACAGTGACAACAGTAACAGTAATGATGGCTACCATTTGCCATGTTTAAGATATACTAGACACTGCTTTATGTAACTTATCTTTATTCAGCAACAGACATTGATTAAGTGTATACTGTGTACCAGGCACTGTTCTAGATATTGGGGATATAGCAGTAAACAAAGCAGAAATCCCCACCCTTATGGAGTTATAATCTTTGCAACTTCTACAGTTATTATCTCCATTTTACAGATGGAGAAACTGAGGCTTAGAGGGGTTAAGTGACTTGCCTCTGGTCTGAATGATTTGGATTTCAAAGGCTAGACTCCCATCTATCAGAATTTGCTGTTCAAAGTTAAAATGCAGGCTGGGTCTCCCTTGCTGTGTTGGAGAGCGGAGACAGACGCCTGCCCAGCCCAAGACCTGACAGCTTACCACACCTATATCTGCTCAGGCTTGTCTTTCCTAAGGCAGCTGTGATCATAGAGTGTCCCTGGGGACAGGCGTGTCTCTTTTGACTGGGGCCTCTTTTTTCAGTTTTATGTAAAGTATAAAGTATTCAAAATTAGTCGGTGCTAATTTCCTTCTAGCATCCTCTAGATTCTGACACCCTTTTGGCCCCCTATCCTCCTCCCTCCCCTCCACACTCACTACTGGGGGTGGGTACCAGTCATTGAAGCCAAGTGTTTAGCAAATTGGGTGTATATTTTCATTTCACAGATATTTCTTTTCTTTCTTTTTTTAATTGTGATTTGGGTGAAAGTTTACAGAGCAAATTCACTTTCCATACAGCAGTTCACACACACGTTGTCTCATGACATTGACTACAATTAACCCCAATGCAACAGCTCCCCTCCCACTTCCTCCCGACAGTCACCTCTTCCCTGTGTCCATCTCTTCATGCACTCCTGCCCCCTGAGCTGTTCTCCCTGTGCATAAACAGCCCATCTTTCTCCCATGATTGTTCTCTCCAAGGAGTGTATCTACCTCAGGTACATGTTCAACTCATATGCCTGTCTTTTGTTTGGCTGGAAGCCACAGGAATGGGTTCAATTCCAGACCTGAAGGACAGTTAGGGACCATAGTCTCAGTGGTTCCACCAGGCTCTATCAGACTAGCAAACCTGGTCCCCTTTTCTTTTCCAAATGATTTTGAGTTTTCACAGATATTTCTTGAGTACTTATTATATGTAAAAGAACAGTGCTGAGTGCCAGAGACCCAGAGGTAAATCTGGCCCTTTCTGGTGGGCTAGCATGTACCTGGTACTCAGCCACCCAAGCAGGTAATGGAGGGGCACAGGATGTCAGTGGCCAGCCTTGAGGCTCCAGGTTGGCATCTCATGTCTAGGAGAAGGGTTTGAGTTTAACTCCTATACTAGCCTGTGGTCAAAGGCAAAGAGCCCTTATAGGTCTCAGCAGATGGGTTTTGTCTCCCAGGGCCATCCTGAAGTCCTGGCGTGGGGCAGGAGCGGGCGGGAAGCAGGGACTGCAGAATGGGTTCTCTAGAAGTCTGTGGGTAGAGAGGTTGATTACCTGCCTGCCTCTTTCCATCCTTCTGATGGAATACTTAAGTACTATTTTTCTCTAGGAGGCCTTCCTGGACCACCCCGACCTGAACCAGCTCCCCCACTGCCCTCTCTCGCTTTCTCATTTTTTTTTTTTTTCCTTCATCGCATTTTATAATTGTTAATGTGCTTGTGTCTGGTATTTATTTGTTCAGCTCCTCCTCTCCGCCATTGTGAGCTCCATGAAGGCAGAGATTGCGTTGTTTTTATTCACATCAGCCCAGCCCAGTTCATGTGACATTGTAGGTGTTCAGTACAGTATTTGTTGACTGATTGAGCAAGCACATCAAGGGAGGCAGAATGGTGGAGTGGGAAAAAAGTGAAGTCTGAGAAACCTGATTTGAAATTCTGGCTCTGTCCCTCCAGCTATGTGACTCTGGGCAAGTCATCTCTCCTCTCTGAGTCTCAATTTGCTGTGCCATGTGGATGACAATGGCACTGTCTCAGAGGCCAGTTAGTTGTACAGGCTAAGTGAGATGATTTGTGTCAAACCAAATGCTGTAACTCAATATAAGTTGGCTACTGCTATGATTATTACAGTTGCTGCTATTATTACTGTTATTAGAATAAGAATAATTGGCTTGGGAGTTGTAGAATCATGTCAGTAGATACTCAGCATAGGGACACATCCTTTGCATGGCTTGTAGACCTGTGGCCTCATGGCAGAAGCCCTCATGACATGCCCTGGTACTTTCTTGCAGAGTGTGAAGGAGGGGAGTGAGAAGCCACGGGGAGCGCGGACAGCGGACAAGGCTGGCTGGATCAAGAAGAGTGGTGGAGGCCTCCTGAGTCTCTGGAAAGACCGCTACTTGCTCCTCTGCCAGACCCAGCTGCTGGTTTACGAGAATGAGGTGAGGACCTCCCTGGCTTTGAGATTGGGGGGTTCTGGGACAGAGGGCAAAGTGGGGGTAGCCCCAGCCAGCAGGAGTAGCCTGGGATTGAGACTAGAAGACCTGTTCTACCTTTGACTGCTATGTGATCTTGGACAAGTGCCTGCCTTTCTCTGAGCTTGTTTACAATATGGGGTCAGTATATTTAGGGGCAAGAATAGATAGGATGAGAGTTTTTTGAACCATATGTGCATATGGATGTGTGTTTGTTTTCTCAACTGTACACCCACACATCTTAACTCTTTGTCAGTGGACAAGTTTCCACATAAATGAATGTTCCAGAAAACTGATGCTTACCCTATTCAGCAATGTAGTAGAAATAATAACTAGTGCTCTTACTTGTTTGAAACTCTTACATACCTCTCATTTGACATTCACAACAGTCCCATAAAAGTGGGCATTATGATACATTTTTCAGAAGAGGTTCTTGATGATCAAGAGAGCAAATTGCTTGTTGAGCATCTCACAGAGAATGGAGGAGCCAGGTCTAGAACTAAATCCAGTGCTCCTTCCACTAAGACATACCAGCAAGTAAACTCCAAGACAATTTTTCATGGAAATCCTCTAAAATATATTAAATATTTTCTGTCTTCTTCAAAAGAAGGGATTGGCCTAAGTTGGTGACTCAGAAGAGTGTTGCACACTGCTGACCTGTATTTTCCAGTTATTCGTTCTCCTTTTACATCAACCTGCCAGTTGCCACTTCTGTTGTCCTCAATGTTTCTGACAGCCCTCACATCTTCCCCCTTCAAATTCTTGTGCTTCTTCTAGTTTTCAACAGGCTTGGAACTTAGACAATAAGATGTTAAAATTGTACGTTAGGTAAGAATCAGTAAAGTTCTGTAGGAGAACCCAAGGAGAAAAATACATTAATTCACTGTGGGAATTTGTGACTATCTTTGGAGGCTTTTACTTGTAGATGTGGTTTGTCTTTTGAGGCTATCAGAGGGCCTACCTAATGAAAAATGGGGTATCACTGTAAGCTTTTGACAGATGATAAAAGAACTGGCCTGGGGGCAGAAGAAGGCAACTGCCTCTTCCCCATAAGCCTCTCTCAGTGTGTCTCCAGGTATCATGGCAGGTCCATAATTGTCCTAGGCCACGAAAGCTTGTTTAAAAGAGCTGCTTTTGAGAGCACCTTGCCTTCCTGCCCTAGTCCACAGGCTTATGGAGAGTGGTGTGTCAGAGAAACAGCAGAGGGGAGAGCAAGGGGATGAGGTGTGCCAACAGACAGCCCCCCCAGATGTTTTATATTGCTGCTATCACCAAATTAGGATGTGACACAATTGGGAATGTAGCAGCAGAGGGATATTTTTATAAATAAAGGGGTTGTCACATCTTCCTCCAGTCCCAGCTGCTGTAAGAGTGAGTGACAAGCTCCCAGCTGTCAACCCGTCAGGTGCTGCTAGACTTGTCCTGGGCTGCCTCACCACATCTGGCCATGGCTGGGAAGTAGGAAGGATTTCACATCTCCCAAACATGAAAAATCCAAATCATGCTTTTTTTTAAAAAAAAAAAAAAAAAAGATCACTATTAAAAACCTAAACTCAATTTCAAGAACTTAGCACTTGGGAGTAGGGGAGGTTGGCCCAGGAATAGGAATTGAGAAATGCTTATTAGCTCAATTCCTCTTTCTGATGTAAGGAACTAGGCGAGTGCTAGCAGCTCTTGGCTGTATCTTTGCTGTCAGAGAGGCTGACATTCCAAAGATGCTGCCCCCGCCCAGTGCCTGCTGGTTTATCCATGTTTCTGAGCTGCAGAAGGGCCAGGATGATTCAGCATTTCTGGAAAAGAGGAGACCCAGGGCAAGCAGCTGTGGGGGCTGGCTTCTGGTGGTAGGGATAGACTGAGGGGTGTGTTCGGGCCAGTGGTTGCCGAGGTGAGGGAGGCCTGCAGACATGGGACAAGTGAGCGGCTCTCTGGACCAGGGCTTCTTCTCTAGGCAGCTTCCTTTATTTGAATGCCCGGGTAGGGGGATCTTCCTGGGGTCTCATTCCGTTCTAGGCATTCATTCCAACAAACCAGTACTATGTGTGCCCCTCCTGAGGGCTGACCTGTGCAGGGTGCTGTGGGGGAAACAGATACACACCCCATAGGGAACAGAAGGAAAGCCAAGCAGAGAGTTAACATTGTGCTTCCCCAGGGCAGGGCTCTGTCCCTGGCACCTAGTATGGTGCCTATATCTGGCAGGTTTGCACACTCTCAGCAGTAAGTAATGGGAGACTTCAGAGAAGAGAACACCAAAGCTCAGGGGTTCATTGGGTGTGATCAGGGGAGCTTCCTGGAGCAGGTAGATTTTACTGGCCCTTGTATTCATTGGAGGAACTTAGAAGGGATTTGAGACTTGTTGTTGTTGTTGTTATGTGCCGTCGAGTCGGCCCCGACTCATAGCGACCCCTCCTTGGGTTTCCAACGCAGTATCACTACGGAAGTAGGATTGCCCAACCTTCCTTGGAAACAGATGTATGGAGTTAAAAATGGGAAAACTGACCTGAATAAATCTGGATGGGAGAGACCAGGCTGTCTGGCTATCTGGTTCCCTTTATCTGAGTGGCTGAAGTCAGCCCCCAACTCATGGTGACCTCATGCACAACAAGGTGGGACATTGTGATTGCATAAGGTTTTCATTGGCTGGTTTTCAGAAGTAGATCTCCAGGCCTTTCTTCCTAAGCTATCTTAGTTTGGAAGCTCTGCTGAAACCTGATCAGCATGAGTAGCAACATGGAAACCTTCACTGACAGATGGGTGGTGGCTGTGCATGAGGTACATTGGCTGGAAATAAAACCTGGGTCTTCCACATGGAAGGTGGGAATTCTACCACTGACTCACCACTGCCCTTGAAGAGAGCATAGATTAGGAGTTATCCACCGTGGCTATACAGTCATCTGGGGAACTTTAAAATGTACTATTATCTAGACCCCATCTCCAGAGATCCTAATGTAACTGGTCTGGAATATTCCCTGGGCATTGGGGTTTTTAGAAGCTCTCAGGTGCCATCAAAGTTCACAACCATTGATGTAGTGCATCCAAATTGTCTTGGGTGCTCATTAAAACTCAGATTGCCAGGCCCATTCCCCTAAGTTTATGAGTTACTAGTAATGAAGCCTGAGGATTTGCATTTCTAACAAGTGCTGATGCTGCGGGGATAAGAACCACACTTGGAAGACCACTGTGTAGAGCAACCTATTGTTAATGTACTAATGCAACACACAAGAGCTCGCTAAGTGTCAGGATCTTTTAGTAAGAGCAGATTAACGAGGGAGATTGGGGCATTTTCTCTGCAAACGAATTCCTGCCTCCCAAACTGAAAACTGTGGAGCGCTGAGTGTTCCCTGGGTGGGTGCTCTTGTTGGCTGTCTGCATGATGTCCAACAGCTAGGGTGTTCATAACTGGTTTGCCAGTCTCAGGGCATTGTACCCCAGGAATGGCCTGCTTCTCAGTGAAGATGTGCCAAGTTGGTCTTCCCTAGAAGGCAAAATAATTCACCAACAATGAGGGAGGGAGCTTGTCCCTGTCAGCTTGCTGGAGAGATACCTGGTGGATTGAGCCCATGTGAAAAACACTCAAGTGGCAGGGCTGCTAGCTAAGAAGGCAGCCTGGCTAGTGTCCAAAGATGGCCTGGAAGAGGCCTCAGGATGGCAGGCTTGCAGGCTAGGGGTACTTTTGAGGGAGCCCTTTCCTCTTCTGCATGACCTGCAGCCTGGGGTCAGGGTCTGCTCTCCCATGTCACTGTCAGCAGAGGACGATGCCAAATGAGGGTGCCGGCTTGTGAAGGCAAGATCACTTGTGGTGCAGGTAAGGTGTAGAACTCCAAATGTTCCTTTTTCATGCTTTCTTCTTTGGCTCTGCCTTTTCATTTTTTCCCATTTGGTGACACTTGCTCCCTCTTCCAGGCTACCTCTTACATATACTCCTGCCTGGCCTCTGGGCCTACATGGATCCCTACCCCTCACTTCTGAGCTTCTCCAGCATCCCTCTCTGTTTCCTCCTCTGGCCTTAGGGACATTTGACTCAATGCTGCTGCCCACCTCAGGGCTCACACCTCTGTCTCCTCTGGATGGTGAGCCTCAAGCACATCCCTCCAGCCAGCATATACTGAGCACCAACCACAAACCTGATGGGGTCTGAAAATACTATATCTTGGTGATTTATCAAAATGCCCTTGCTGAATAGCCAAAACACCCTGAGGGAGTGAGTTACCAGGCCCAAAGACTTGGGACCATAGTCGCAGAGGACATCAAGCTCAGTTGGCATAACACAAAAATATTGTTCTACATCCTACTTTGGTGAGTAGTGTCTGGGGTCTTAAAAGCTTGCAAGCCACCATCTAAGATGCAACCATTGGTCTCTCATCTGGAGCAAAGAAGAATGAAGAAAACCAAAGACACATGAAAACAATTAGTCCAAGGGACTGAGACTAGAAAGACTAGATGGTGCCTAGCTACCACTGTCAACCACTCAGAAAGGGATCAAAATAGGAGATCCTATTTTGATAGAGAAGGAGAAAAATGTGGAACAAAACTCAAAATCATAAAAAAGACCAAGCTTACTGGTCTGATAGAGACTGGTAAAATCCCTGGGACTATGACCCCTAGTCACCTTTTGGGCCTGGAATTGAACTCACTCTTGTGGCTTCTAGCCAAACAACAGACAGGCATATCAAGTGAACATTTACACCAGGTAGTACACTCGTTGTTGTTGTTGTTGTTGTTATGTGCTGTCCGGTTGGACCCGACTCATAGCGACCCCTCCTTGGGTTTCCGAGGCAGTATCACTATGGAAGTAGATTGCCCGTCTTCCTTCTGAGGAGTGGCTGGTGGGTTTGAACCTCCAGCCTTCTGGTTAGCAGTCAAGTGCCTTAGCCACTATGCTACCAGAGCTCCTAGTATACTCCATAGAACAGTCAATTATGGGAGATCAGAAGGGCAGTATTTGTACTGGAAGATAGCCCAGAGGGCAGGAATTCATAGGAAAGAAGGACATAGGGAAAAGGTAACTACAGAGAGGAAGCGGGAAAATGGCTGTTACATTATGGGAATTGCAACTCTGGTGGCGTAGTGCCTAAGGCATTTGACTGCTAACCAGAAAATTGGTGGTTCAAACCCACCAGCCACTCCACGGAAGGAAGTAAATTTCCATAAAGATTTACCGCCTCGGAAACCCAAAGGGGGTCTCTATGGGTCAGAACCGGCTCGATGGCAGTGAGTTTGGTTTTGGTTTAGTCAGTGTCATGAAAGAAAATGTGTGTTAACTGTTGTATGGAAAATGAATCTGCTCTGTAAATTTTCACCCAAATCATAATTTAAAAATAAGCCTTCAGCTGAGTGTTAGGGGTGTGGTCTGAGTGGCAGAGGGTCTGGTGTATCTAGCTGTGACTCTGTCTCCTTTCCTAGGATGAGCAGAAGTGTGTGGAGACAGTGGAGCTGGGCAGCTATGAGAAGTGCCAGGACCTTCGTGCCCTCCTCAAGCGGAAACACCGCTTTATCCTGCTGCGATCCCCAGGGAACAAGGTAGGGAGGTGCCCACTGCTGCCTGACCTCCCTTCAGGCCAGTCTGCTTGGAAAGGTCACCCTGGAAGGTTCAGGTCCAGGGGCTGCCCCAGGTTGGGCCTTAGCTTATTTTGTCTTATTGCCTCCCCAGTCTCTGGTTGACAGGACATGTATTAGGCTCTGCTGAGAGAGCTCTGCTCGCCTCTCCATCCCAGGCCCTGAGGCCTCCTTCCCAGGCTACAGTTGGAAAGTAGCATCTGAGGGGTGAGGCCCTTGGCCCTTCCCTACACTCTGGACACAAGAGTCCCAGGGCTGAGGGCAGGAGAGCTGTGGATGAGGCCTCCACCCCTAGGCCTCTAATACCCTGATACAAGCTGGGGCAGAGGGAAGGTGTGGCTGCCTCTTAAGTCCAGGCCTTCCTAGGTGGACCACCCTTCTGCCTCCATCCTGGACTCAGGGCTCAAAGGCCTGTAACCCCCTAGCTTTTCTCCCCTTGCACTTTTCTCTTTGCTGGGGTTTGGGAAGATATCTTGCCTGCAAGCTTCTTTCCCTGTGACATGCTGTGTGTGCAGATGAAGTTTGTTGTTTGTACCACATTTCTCTGGGTGGGTGTTGACACATGGCATAGTTTCACAGATGTCAGGAGGGAATTGAGATTCTGAGGCTGGTGTGTACAGCACCTCTCGCCAGCTCGCACCCATCTGCAGCTGGGCCACACCACATACCGCCCCGACCTCTGTGTGTCATGTGGTACCTCGCAGAGTGGGGCTGAGTCACAGAGGCTGGGGGTTGGGTAGTGAGTCTGAGTCTGAGTCTGCTGTAGGCTGTTCTGTTTCTCTTCTGACTTCAGGGACCTGGAGCCCGCTCCTTGGTTTCCTGGGACCTGGAGGAGACCATGATGCTTTGCTCATTAAACTTTTGTCCTGGTCTACAGTGGGTGGGGGCAAAGAAGCAACCAAGATAGCATTGAAGGATGTAGTAGAGCTGTGATCTCTCTTTGCATCTTCTCTTGATGATTTGTCCTAAATGGGAGAGATTGGGAGATGCATCTGAGGATAAGGGTAGATTTCTAGTGCCAGGAGGGCTTACGGGGCTAGGCTAGATTTCACTTGACATCTGTTGCTTTGTTGTTGTTGTTATGTGCCATTGAGTCGGACCTGCCTTATAGTGACCCCTCGGGTTTCTGAGGCGGTATCTGCTGCTTAGGGCTCCCTGTTTCGGAGACCTGATTCCTGTTTGGGTAGGTGCTGTGTAGGTGTATGTGAGTTGGAGAGAGATGCAGAGTACATTATGTGTGGAAGTCTGCACCTGTGTGTCTGCTGCGTGTGTGCCCCTCTTTGTGTGAAGATGAGTGTCTGCTTGGTCATAAGTCTGTCTGGGTCTTTGTGTGCCTTTTAATGTACTTACATGGATGTGGAGTGGAAGGGCCTTGCCTCTCTGTCCTCTGCCCATGCTGTTGTGGGGACTACCTCCATTCCTCAGCTCTGAAAGTCAGCTGATGGTGGGCTAGGTGGGCCCGCAGGCTCAGGATGGGACCTTCAGAGAGGCCTGTTTGTGCAGCTGCATTCTCTGATGCTTCAGCCAACACCCTTGCCCCTACCCCTAGCCCTGCCAAGAGTTCACCTGGGCCCTGGGTGTCTCTGGGAATAGGAGAATCAATCAGGGATAGGGGACTGTGGAGCCACTGGTGGGGGCAGTAGGTGGTGGGCGGACACACACTCAGATACCAAATCAAGGGCCCACTGACCCTCGCCGCCTCCAGGAGCTCCCCCAGAGGGTAGGGGCTCTCCAGAGGTCAGATGGGTCCCAGAGCATCCCCTCACCCTTCTTTCCCATCGCCCTGGGTGTTCCCCATCTTCAGTGAGGCCTCCAGCCAGGCAGGAGGTCACATGACCCTGGCTGTCTGGTCCTGAGGCTGCCTTTTCTTTTCCCCCCTCTAATCAAATAAACAAAGACTCCAGTGTCTTGCATGCCCCTTCTCCCCCTGCCTCCCCATCCCCACACCCCTGCCCATGAGGTCACAGGAAGATGCTGCCAGGAAGCGCAGAGTGACTGTAGCTGGGCTTTGCTGCCCCACTGGTCACAACCAGCTTGGCCCTTTCCTTTTCCTCTTCTCTGCCTCCTCTCTCCCCCTTCCACTTTTTTCCTCTTTGCCTCCGTCTTTCCTTAGCCACATGGGTCTGCTCTTAGGCCAGTTTTATTATCTTCAAAGCTCCGAGCAGGACCTGTGCCTCTTGGAAGGCCTTAGGGCAAAGCCCTGTCCTGTGTAGCTCCTGGGTCTTCAGGGACAGGAGTGGGGTGGGGCTAGAGGGGAGACTTCCTGATATTCTCGATATTCTAATTGTCCCCATTCTGATCATCCTTGTGGAATACCTGATTTATTCAGCCAGGATTACAGGGTTCCTTAGGGTAGGTCTGGGTCTGATTTAACCTCTTATGAGAACCCTTTGCTAGCAACATAGTAGGTCTTCCTTATGGAAGAGGAGAAGAGAGTAGACATACCTTCCCCTAAGCCTGCCTCAGGCTAGCTGGGCCAGAAAGGAAGGGGCCCTGTTTGGGTTGGGTTCAGTTGTTCTGTTCTTGTACTGTGAAGGCCCAGAGTAGTAAAGAGACCTGTGCAGGGTGACATTGCCAGTTGGTGAAACTAGAACTCAACTCCCGGGCCATGTCCCATTAATGCTGCTCCTGCTGCTGAGTTCAAGTATATTTTCAAGCTCTCTGCAGGGCTAAGTCCTGCACAGAGGGGGCGTCTGGTCAACTCAGAGCCTGCAAACAAGAGCAGGAGCTGGTGTCAGAGGGGCTGGCTCTGGCTTCTTTTCTGGCAGCCCCCATCACAGAATTGGGTAGGCCATTGCAGACCCTGGGTACAGTGCTGTCCCTCCCCAGGCCCTGTGCAGCCCTGGTGGCTGGACTGAGAGGCAGTTGCCAAGGTGCCCTGGGGTTTCTGACTTAACTGCAGATCTGCTGCCAGGATCAAATTTACCCTGGTCATGCAAATGAGCATTTGGCTGTGTCTGGTGTGTGTGGGGGGGTAGGGCGTGGGGACCCAGGCCTTGTATGAGGGGAAGAAGGCGGCAGCCAGGAGGAAGTTATATAACAAGGATGCTGAGGGGGCCAGGCGTACTGTGGCGTTATGTAACTGGGAGAGTGGCAGGAGGGAAGGCGCGATCTAATACCAGGGTGGGGGATGGACAGGCTGGTGACCCTTCTCAGACAAAGAACTAGGGCATCTTAAGGTCAGAGAGTGGGCAGTGCCCCAAAAATAGGGTGAGGGAAAGAACCTGTGGCCGGTTCATTCATTCATTCATGGGCTCATTCATTTGGTAAACATTTAGAGTCCTTACTATGTGCCAGGCCCTGATTTTAATCATTTATCTCCCTCAGCGTTGCTCTGTAGTAGGCAGTATTATCCCATATGACAGATGAGGAAACCAAGACTTGTTTTGTCCAGAAGGAAATGATGATCATTTCTATTACTTAACACTCACTCTGTGCCCAGGTCTGGATTTAGTAGGGTGTGTCAATCATTTTTTTTTTCTCCATTCTTTCTTCTGTTTAACTTAAAATACAAATGTCATTGTGTCAATCATTTTTCAGAGATCTTCACATCTCTATGAGGCAGGTCATTGTGATGTTCTCTTTTTATAGGTGAGGAAACTGAGGCTCTAGGTCAGACAGCTATAAGTGGGAGACTCTCTAGCTCCAAGAGTCTGTCAACCATCAGTTTATATGGCCTCATTTCCTTCCCACTCATTTCCTATCTGACTGTGGGGCCTGTCAAGGAGGGGGCTGCCTTGTGATTCTAATATAGGAGCTTGGAGCTCCTGCCTGAGATGGGAAGGCGCCAGTGAGGGTGTAATGGGAGGTGGATCAGGTCTCCTTCAGACCACATAGGACCTTAACTATGTCCTGTCCCATCTACTGAACCTCATTTTCCTCATGAGGAGCATCTAATGCCCTTTGTCTCTTACAGTCTATGATTCAAGGCCAGAAAAGAGACCTCTTCTAGGAAGAGTCTGGGCACATATTTTAGTTGGGGCCTGGGCTGGATGTGGGGCCTGCTGTGGTGCTGAGGTGAGGTCCTGCTTCCAGTGGGACTTCTCCAGTAGACACCCTTTATGCCTGCCACCTCTTTAGTGCCTAGCATGGATATAAATTGGGACTTCTTTACAGAGGAGAAGCTGAAGCCTTAGAGGTCAGGTGGCTGCTGGGATACTCCCATGGGAGAGGGGCCAGATCCAGGTTCCTTCTATTGGGCAAGGATGATTCTAATCCAAATTTCTGGTAGCTCCATGCTGGGGAATGGCCCTTTCTCTGCTGGATCTGTCCCCCTCCCCCACTTTCTGAAAGCTCTCATGTCAGACACATTGTGGAGTCATTTTGGTTTGTTCCTGAGCAGTTGTACTTAGGGCAGATACTGAGAGCTTCCTTAAGACCCCAAATATGAGCCCTGTTAAACATCTGCCATCCCCCTGGCAGGTCAGCGACATCAAATTCCAGGCACCCAGCGGGGAGGAGAAGGAATCCTGGATCAAAGCCCTCAACGAAGGAATCAACAGAGGCAAGAACAAGGCCTTTGATGAGGTAGGATGCAGCCCTGTGGATGGCTCTTTGTCCCCCCTTTCTGGCCCATGTGCCATCTGAAAGAGGTCCCTGCCCCCCACATCATCCCAGACAACCCTTTGATTATGTCTCTGCTACAAACACTGGTGAATCTGCTGTTGTTACTTCATTTAATTCTTACAGCAGCCCCCCAATATTAGTAGTGGTATTCCCCATTTTATAGATGAGGAGGCTGAGGCACAAGGAAATTATGCCTTACTTTAAATTACTTTAAAATAAAGTAATTTATTTTAAGTCAAAAAGCAGGTCAGTGGTGGGATAGAATTGATCTGATTGCAGCTATGTGAGTTGCATCCTTTGAACCCAGCCTCAGCTGGGAGTGGTAGGTAGGCTAAGGCTAGAGAGGGCTGGGGGTGAGCTGAGAGCCTGAAAGCTCATTTTTCAGCTTGGCCACAAAGTCCTGGGGCTGGGCTTGCTGTGGACCCTGGGCCTCCCTTGGATTGCAGAAGGACTGAGGCCCAAGGAGGGGAGGGGAATCTTCTCAAGCAAGTCCTTGTTTAACACCCAAGTTCCCTGACTCCCAGCCCTTGGCTCTTAATGTCTGTCCTATGTGAATATTTCGTGCTCAGCTTTTCATTCCCTGGGGAAGTGCCCCCATCTTGGGGAGACAGATGATGGGACACATCTTGGGGGTTGGGAGAGGCCCAGGAGCCCTGGGCTGGGCCTCATCTCACAGTCTTGGTGAGGCAGGGGTGATTCCTCTACTGAGGAACAGAAACAGTTACTATCACCTTCAGCCATCTGCTCCCTGAGGAGATGTGGGGTGAGGAGTCTTAGTCTTGCTCCCCATCACAAGGGCAAGCTTCTTCATGGTCATGAGCCTGATTTCCCATGTGGACCTTACTCTGAGGTGTCCCAGCTACCCCTGACTCTAGTTCCTTACCCTCAGAGGAGGTGCTTCCCTCCAGCCATCCTGATCCAAGGGGGTGGAGGCCCTGCTCTTTCCTGGGCTAGCCTCAGGGGTCTTAGGAAAGTAGCCTTTTGTCAGGTGTCACAGGATCTGGGCTGGATGCATAGTCTGCTCACCCTTCAACCCCCAACCTATAGCTAAACTTCAAAATAGCCTCAGGGCTGCCTGGGCCTTTATAGTAGACAGAGGAGCAGGGTTGATAGCCCATGACTGGGCAGGAAGACTGAGGGAGCACAGCTGCGGAGAGGGGGCACCTCAGACCCTTCAGAGACAGATGTGGCAGTGTAGAGACACAGAGAGAAACACCTCAAAGAGAGGGATAACAAGTAGGATGCTGACCCTGGTAAGTGAGGTATGAAAGGTGCAGACCCTGCCTCTGAGTCATGTTAATGCCTGGCCATTTCCCACTCTCCCCAAGGCCTAGTAGGGGCTTACCTGGTTTCCCTTTCTTCCCAGGTAAAGGTGGATAAGAGCTGTGCCCTGGAGCATGTGACACGGGACAGGGTGCGGGCAGGCCAGCGGCGCCGGCCACCCACAAGAATCCACCTGAAAGAGGTAAGGCCTTGTCTAGCCTTGATCAGATGGGAGGTTGGTTGAACCTGGGACTTGGGCTACTTTTTTTCCCTGAGGACACCTGGAGTTGAGGGTCCTGACTAGTCTACAGGGGTGTCTGTATGTGGAGGCAGCTGTGTTAAATGTGCTCAGATAGTATATGGCCCAGAGATCAGAGCCTACTTCATTTGCTGAATTCACACACTGGCTGCAGCCAGTCGCTACCCTGCAGAGCTCAGATTGCTGTAAGGAGAGCTGTGTCTAATGTTTTAAAGAATGGGAAAGGATTCAATTAGTAGACTAGGGGTGAGAGGAGATGGAGTGGAGGGAATGATGAGAGCAGAGGCTTGAGGCAAGAGAGTTCAAGGTATGCTGAGTGTCAACCTTGACTGGGAGATAGATTGGACTGGCAGAGGAGGATTGGACAGAGGGAAGGTTCTCCCCAAGCCCAGAGTGGGAGAATGGAGTCCCTGAACACAGGGAATTTGAAAGAGGAAACTTCTTTCTGACTTGTGGAGCTCATGGGTCTGTGGGGGTGGGGGGGTAAGGGAGAGATTTTAGAGGTCTGTAAAGAACCTCAGCAAATGTTGCATTTATGGGTGGGGGTGGAATAGCCAGTAAGGAGCCAGTGAAGAGGCAGCTAGAGAGGTGAGTGACACAGAACCTCGAGAGTCATTAGCCAGGTGCCAGCCACAAGTCATAAGGGCAGGACTAAGGAAAAGGCTGGTGGGGACATTTATGACATTTTCCAAGAGACAGAGTCAGTTTAGGGCTGTTGTGGGGACTCTGTGGGGAAAGGAGGCTGTGGAAGGGAAGAAAGAGACAGGACCATATAGAAGAAAGGGGCCCAAGGTTGGAGGATTTGTTTTTGAGATGAGGCAGCCTTTTCATGTCTGTCAGCTGAGGGAAAGGAGCCTACAGAGGGAGTGACTCAAGTTGCCAGAGAGAAAAGGATGACCTGAGTGGGGACTTCTAAGAGATGTTGGGGAGGGGTGGTGTTGGAGGTGGGGATCCCTCCAAGACAAATTCAGGGAGGAAGCTATGTATGGTGGTGGATGTCTCTGTGGTAGTCTCAGTAACTGAGTGTATCTGTTGCCCAGATTACTGGTGGGTGCATATAAAATGGAGTGAGGATTAGGCTTATTGATGGTGTGAGGGTTTTAACCAACACCCTACCTTCTGAGGAACCTTGGGAAAGGCCTCATGCCCAGCCCTGCTTTTAGGTCTCTGAGGAAAGGATGCAGCTCCCCATGACCATGGGATTACTCAGTGTCTGTATGGGTCCCTGGAGCCAGATGGGGGAACAGCTGTCTGCTTGGTACAGCTGTTCTCCTCTGGCAGTCAGCTGTGGTCTGGGGCTGCCTGTGTCTGGGACCCCATCCCATCATGAGGAGAGTGGGCACAGATTGCTGGGCAGCTGGGCAGGCAAGGGCTGGAGTATGCTCAAGGCCATACAAGTAGGGGGCAGAAACAGGGCTGAAACCATGTCCCTTGCTGCCCAGATCAGCACAGTTGCCACTAAAGAAGAATGGTCTCTTTCACCAACTTGGAGAAGTCAGGCTGGGGCACCGAGAGGGCACCCTGGCTCTGACTTCCTGGACTATGATTATAAAACAGAATCCTATGGGGTGAGAAAGAAGAATCATCAGGGAATCACTTGTAGTCAAGTGGCCTTGGAAGCCAGGGCAGAGGGAGTAGAGAGTCGGGGCTGGGGATCTGGGTAGCATGGATGGGAGGGTTTGAGAACCCTTGTAGGTCGGTACACCTGACCCAGTGGCTAGTCATCCAAGATGATGCCTGTATACTGCCCCCCACCAGGTGGCCAACGCAGCTTCTGATGGGCTTTTGCGCCTGGACCTCGATGTTCCTGACAGTGGGCCACCAGTGTTTGTCCCCAGTGATGATGGCAATGCAGCCCAGCCCCAGGAGATACTCCAGCCCCCTATGCCTCCCACCAAGCCTTCTCCAGTGCCTGAGATGACCAGCATTGGTGAAAGGGCAGAGACACCTGTGGAGGAAAGAGCTCCAACCCCTGTCTCAGTGAGCACTGAGACCCACCCTGAAAGCCAAGAGGATGCAGAGACCCCAGCCAGGGAGGACAAGGATTCCAAGCAGCCCCCCAACAGGATCCTGCCTGACATACTGAAGGTGAGCTGGGAGAAGCCCAGCCCTGAGGAGCCCCCTGCCTCTGAGAGTACAGGAGCATCCCAGCTATCCTGTTCTGAGGCTTCTGAGGCTGTCTCCAAGGAGGGTGGGAAGCCCCCTACGCCCCCACCTAAGATCTTATCAGAGAAACTAAAAGCCTCCATGAGTGGGCTGCAGGCTTCTGGGCCAACCCAGAGTCCTGGGGTCCCTGAGACCTCTACCCCAGGCCCAGCCCAGGTCTCAGTGAATGGCATGGATGATAGCTCTGAGCCTGCCAAGCCGTCCAAGGCCATGGCCACCCCAGGAACCCACCAGAAGGATGCAACAACATCCACCACACCACCTCTTTGGGACCCATCACCTCAGTTCCATCCCCGCTGTTCCTCCCTTGGGGACCTGCTTGGGGAGGGCCCCCAGCATCCACAGCAGCCCAGGGAACGACTGTATCAGGCTGAGCTGGAGGTGAAGGTGGCCTCAAAACAGACAGAACAACTGTTGAACAAGGTGCTGGGCAGTGAGCCAGTTCCTGTGAGTGCCGAGACACTGCTCAGCCAGGCTGTGGAGCAGCTGAGGCAGGCCACTCAAGTCCTGCAGGAAATCAGAGATTTTGGGGAACGGAGCCAGGAAGCACCTGGGCTAAGGGAGAAGCGGAAGGAGCTGGTCACTCTCTACAGGAGAAGTGCACCCTAAGGCCTGCCGGCCCAGAGGCACGGTCCCCCCTGGCTGATCCAGTCCATCAAAGCCTAGCCCTGCCAAGAAATGTGCTTCTGCCTAGGCCTTGGAAGGGCCCGTGGGCACGTTGGAATCTGGCCAGGAATTGCTGAGACTCCTGGGTATCCTTTCCTGGGCAGGCCAGGTGTGCCAGCTGCCTCCCTATCTGGCCTGGTCTCCAGGCTCTGGGCTTGGGAGCACAAACCTGGGACCTATGTGCTTATGTGGTTGTTCTGAATACCTTAGGTCTTTGGCACAGCACCTGGGGTTTCTGGGGGTGGCATCACCCTCAGTAGTTTACATTCCTGACTTCTGAATAGAGCACAGATGAGGCCCCTAGCAGTCCCCATCTCCAGATATTCCCAGACAGGGAATGCTCATGCCAGAGGCCACTTTTAAGCCAGCCCCTCTCCTACCCTTACCCACCTATTCTGAGTTGATACAGAGGCCCTGGGCCCAGGCTCAGCTAGGTGAGACCTGGAACCCAGCAGGGCTTTGCAAGGCAGGTAGGAGGCATCTCTGTGCAGAAGCCATAGCTGTGTGGCCCCTCTCTGGGCCTGTGTTTCATTTCTGCAAAATGAAGTCTTCTGCAGAGCTGTCCCTTCTTGTGACCTATGATTGGAGGGCTTAGATCTGGAGGACTTCAAGATGGAGGAGGAACTTGAAGGGTCTCCTAGTGTAGTCCCTGCCCTGGACCAGCTGTGCCCAGCCTTATACATTTCTGAAGAGGCAAACCCCGGAGTGACCTGATGTCAACCTCAGAGAGACCTGTATGTAATGATCATAAGCCAACCTTTAGAAAAAGAGACCTCCCCCTCCCCCAATGTCTGTGCCTCCCCAGATAAGATTGATGTCTAGGTCATTATGGTCACTCCTCAACCCAAACAGGTTTAATATCCCAGTCATTTCTTCAAATGCTGATGAGGATATATTAGGGCCTAAAACCACTTCTTCCCCACCTCCACCCTGTACTCTAGGCCTCTCCCAAGCCCTTTTGGGATTGCTCCTAGCTCTGGGGCAATCCAGTTTCCATCTTTCTACAGTGGCTGGACCAAGGGCAAAGCCTGTAGGTGCAGAGACCCTGTGAGTCATAGGCTTGGGTCTGACTCCCCAGGCCCAGCCTCTCCCTTGGGCCTGACCAGGGCATTTGTGCATGTGCACTTTGTTTACAGAAAGAGAGGAGAGGGAGGGGCACAGTAGCATGCTCATCCAGTCGTGCACCAGTTGTGCCACCCAGGCCTGCCAGCACAGGCTGCGGCCGCCTTTACTGTGCTTTCACTCTGGTCTTGAAGGGGTGGCCCAGGGGTCATGAGGGACGAAGTCCACTCTGTGGCCGGCACTGGGCAGGAGTGGGAGTGAGCAGCAGTACCATGGCTTCTGAGTCCCTCACTGGCCTCCCCAAACCACACTCTGTGAGCAAAGTGGGTCCCCATGCCACAATTCACTTCTCTCCCTCCATCTGTCTCCGAGAGGAGAGTAAGTATGTTACCAGGTGCCACAGTCACGTGCTCCTTGGGGAATAGCACGCTCCCACTAGAAGCCAGAGCTGGCTGGGGCTTTAACCAAGTCACTGGCTTCCAGGAGCTGGAGCCTCAGTTTCCTTATCAATTAGTTTCTAGGCTGGGCAGGTAGCTCTGGGGCCACCTCATTAGTCTAATGCCGTTAGTGCCCATGGGCTTCTCATGCCTTGGCAGGCTGGGCCCCAAGGGGGAAACTGACTTTCATAGGAGGGGAAGGCGGAGCTACCATATCCAGGGGCTGCCTTGCCTGTCCCCCTGAGGAGGATGGCATTCTGCGTCTTCTGCTTACAAAGCACCCTTCTGGAAGTTTGGCAATAAATCCTTTATTATGGAACTTCTCTGTTCCAGCCTGTTTGTTGATGTGGGGGCCAGCTCCAGAGCTGGCCTCAAGGAAGCAGAGGGTAGACAAGTTGATTAATGGCACCAGTGGTCCCCTAGACTTAATTCTAGGGCCCCTTTCCGTAAGCCAGGCTGGGAACATCACTGTCCCATCCCTCAGGGCTCCAACTTTGCTAAACTCAGGACCTTCCAATTTCACCCTCTTCCACCAGTCTTTTGGCTGGGAGCCAAGGGTCATAGGGAACAGTGCTTTTCAAAACATTATTTCAACTGTTTGTTGTTATTATGTGCCGTTGAGTCAGACCCAACTCATAGCAGTCCCTCCTTGGGTTTCCAAGGCGGTATCACTATGGAAGTAGATTGCCCCATCTTCCTTCTGAGGAGTGGCTGGTGGGTTTGAACCGCCAGCCTTCTGGTTAGCAGTCAAGTGCCTTAGGCACTACACTACCAGAGTTCAACTGTTTATTTGGAAATAATTTCAAACTTACAGAAAAGTTGCAAGAACACCATATATCCTTTTCCCAGTTCACCCCCATTGCTTTATCATTTGCACACTCTCACATATATGCATGTTTCTTTTTTTTCTGAATCATTGAAGAGTTTAGTTGCATACCTCATGGCCCTTTACTCCTAAATACTTCCATATGTATTACCTAACAATAAAAGATACTCTCATCACCGCAGTACAGTTAACAACTGTAAATTTAACATTGATAAAATAATTTATTGTTTGTATTCTTATTTTGTCATCTGACCTAAGTGTATTCTTTTATTGCATTTTTCCTTCCTCCAGTGCAGGATCCAATGTAAAGTCAGGTATTGCATTTAATTGTCATATATCTGTAGTCTCTTTAATCTGAAACATTTCTACAGCCTTTCTTTGTCTTTCATGACATTGGCATTTTCAAATGAATGCAGCCCCCTGTTCCCCTTTTTAAGAGAACATTCCACAATTGGGATTTGCCTGAGGTTTCCTCTTAATTAGATTGAAGGTTATGTATTCTTAGCCCCAAATCTGGGTAATGTTGGGTCCTTCTCAGGGCATCTCATCTGGAAGCACATCTGGAACAAATGTTCATTTTGATCACCTGGTCAAAGTGTCTGTTTTCTCACTATATAATTAATAAAAAAAAACCCCAAAAAACCAAACTTACTGCCATTGAGTCGATTCCAACTCATAGAGACCCCCATTGGGTTTCCGAGGCTGTAAATCTTTGTGGAAGTAGATCACCCATCTTCCTTTCATGGTACAGCTGGTGGGTTTGAACTGCTGACCTTTTGGTTAACAGCCAAATGCCTTTGTCCACTACATCACCAGAGCTCTTTGTGTGGTTAATAGTTTTATTTTTTTTTCCCTTTATTTGCAACTAATATGAAATTTGTTATATTTTCATATTGGGAGATACTTTAATACCATGTAAATATATTGTGTCTCATCAAAATTTCCTCTTAGATTTAGTATCTACTGATTATTATTATTATTACTTTATTGTGATTTGGGTGAAAGTTTACAGAGCAAATACATCTTCCATACAGCAGTTCACATACACTTTGTCTCATGACATTGACTGTAATCTCCCACAATGCAACAGCTCCCCTTCTACTTCCTCCCCATCGCCACCTCTTACCTGTGTCCTTCTTTCCCATGTACCTCTCTGTGTCTTCTTCCTCAATGCCACTGTGTTGATCACTCACATTTGGTACAGTGCCCTTTTCTTCACCCAAATTGACACTTATCTCTACCTATCTAGCAGTGTTCCTTCCTCTCCCATCCCACCCTTGGTAACCAACAAAGAAAATCTCCTTCCATATATAAACCTTTCCTTGACTTCTTACCATAACGGACTAATACAATATTTGTCTTTCTGTGATTGACTTATTTCACTCAGCATAATGTCCTCCAAGCTCATCCACGTTATGTGGCGTTTTGCAGATTCTACGTTATTCTTTAGGGTTAGATAGTATTCCATTGTGTGTACGTACCATAGTTTGGTTATCCATTCTTCTGTTGATGGACACCTAGGTTGTTTCCATCTTTTTGCTGTTGTAAATAGTGTTGCGATGAACACGAGTGTGCGTTTATCTGTCCTGGCTCTCACTTCTTTAGGAGATATACCTATGTATTGATTATTCTTGCCTGAACGAGTCTTTCCTGTGATGCTTCCAAAATGATGATTACAACTGTTACTTTAACCTGAGAGCCTAGTCCTGGTCAGGGGTGAGCCTGGGCCCTGTTTTGTGCCTGTGGCATCCCTGACACATCTCAGTGGGACCCCAGGGTATTACCAAGCACTCTTTGAGAGTTTCTGGGCCAGTGGAAAGAGCTGAGTCAGGCTGCCAAGGTTCAGATCCCACTAAGGGACATCAGATCAGTCTCAGCTTCAGGTAGTCCAATTTCTTGACCCTGGGAAGGGGGTTACAATATGCTCCCCCCACCCCAGTTCCCTTGTGAAAGGAGCGTTGGTGGCACAGTGGTTAAGCATTTGGCTGCTAACTGAAAGGTTCACAGTTTGAACCCACCAGCTGCTATGCAGGAGAAAGAAGCACCAGTTTGCTTCCCTAAAGATACAGCCTTGGAAACCCTATAGGGCAGTTATACTCTGTCCTTTAGGGCCTCTATGAGTCGAAATCTACCCAACAGCAATGAGTTTTTATTCTCTGATGTGAGAAAGCACTGCTGTTCTTACCAAAGTCTGGCTCCCTTCCTCCTCCCCCTGTGAGGGCTGCTGGACAGGCCGGTGGCCAACATAACAGGAAGCACCTGACCCAAGGCCTATCGACTGGCTGTGACCCTTTTGTCCCTCCTGAATACTCCTTCCATTGGCCTGATAAGTGACAACCATTCTGAGTGAGTGACCTGTAGAAGGTGGGGGGCCTCGGGCAGATCACTTTACCTTCATGAGCCCATGATCTGTGAGGAGGAAGAAACAAGTGAAGGGAGAGAAGTCCCTTTATTGATGAGAGCGTTTCTCCACCACAGGCTAGGAACTAGGTCCTTCTGGGACTTGGAAGGGAGGGGCTGCTGAGGTGTCAGTAGCCAGTCATAGGATTGAGGAAGGATGTAGTGAGAACTTTCCTTCTGGTCCAATGGGCTGGAGGCCTGTGCAGAGAAGGGCAGCC